ACTTACACCGTTAGCCTGAGGGACAGTCATCTAATTTAACATACGTCTAGGGGCCTACTGAAACAGTCTCCAAAGACAGAGATTGGTGGGTGCCATGTTTGCGCTCTCCCTCTGCCCTGCTCCAGCTCACGGTACCTCCCAGAAAGGAGCCTGTACCCTTGTCTGTTGCCTGGGTTTCTGCAGCTGTAGCTCTTTGATGGCCTGGCTCTGGTGGCCAGTGGGGCTTCCGTTTGTGGGTCCCATGAGACTGGTACAACAGAGGGACAGTTCTTAGCCAGCTACCACCAGCAGGGCATAGCACAGACAGCTCACTGACACACAGCCTCAGTCTTTCTGTGAAAGAGGCCTATTTGCTCATCCTGGAGCTTTGGCCTGAGGGGCAGGATTCTGGTTTGGCACACACCTGGAGGATACCGAAGGGTTCTTCATGTTCTCCCTCTGTGTCACTCCAGCCTGCTGGTATCTCCCAGAGAGGAGCTTGTCGCCTGGAGTCCCACTTTTGTGGCTGCTGCCCAGGGGACACTTCTAGATTGCCTGGTCCTGGTGGCCAGTGGGGCTTATGCTCATGGACCCCATAGGACTATAATCAATGGAGACAGTTCTTAGCCAGCTACCACCCCCAGGACTCAGCAGAGAGGCAACGGACTAAGGAGCCCATGGAAGAGCCCTGTTAGCTCATCGTCCCAGCTGTGGCCTGAGGACCAGTCTTCTAACTAAACACACATCTAAGGGCTGACTGTGATTCTATCCAGAGACCCCAGAGGGCAGGCCCGATCCTCTGCTGTGCTCCAGAGTGCCAGAATCTCTCAGAGGGGAGCTTGTACATGTGTCTGGTGCCCAGTTTGGGGGGAGGGGCTGCTGCCCAAGGGATGCCCCTTGATTGCCTTCATCTGGTGACCAGTGGAGCTTGCGTTCATGAATTCAATGGGATGGTAGCAAAGAAAGAAACAGTTCCTAACCGGCCATCACCCCACGGCTCAGTACAGAAGGAGAAGACAGAAATGCCCAACTCCTGTTGCAAATAAATTCATTAAGAAGGAGCCCTCTTGGGACTTTCCTGGCGGTCAAGGTGTTAAGACTCCATGCTTCCACTGCAGGGGGCATGGGTTCGATCCCTGGTCGGGGAACTAAGATCCCAGCTGCCGCAGTGCAGCCAGAAGGTGAAGAAAAAAAAAAGAAGAAGGAGCCCTGTTGAGGAGTAGCCAAGGTGCAGGATGGTGGAGGAGGAAGGCCCTGAGCTCACATCCTCCCGCAGGCACGCCAAAATGACAACTATTTACAGAGCAACTGTTGATGAGAAAAAACCAGAAGACTAGCCAAAAAGATCTTCTACAACTAAAAATACAAAGAAGGAACTCCAACAAGACAGGTAGGCAGGGTAGAGTCATGATATAGTCAAGAACCACACCCATGGGTGGGTGACCCACAAATGGAAGGATAATTACAACTGCAGAGTTTCTCCCCAAGCAGCGACGGGTCCAGGCCCCACATCAGGTTCCCCGGTCTGGGGGTCCTGAACTAGTAAGAGGAGCCCCAATAATGTTTGGCTTTAAGGCCAGCAGGGCTTATTTTAGGAGATCCGTAGGGCTGTGGGAAATAGAGAATCTACTCTTACAGAGCACACACCAAATCTCACAGCTCCTGGACCCAGTGCAGAAGCAGTAATTTGAAACGAACCTGGATCAGACCCACCTGCTGATCTTGGAAGGCCTCTCAGAGAGGCAAGAGGCAACTGGAGCTCACGCTGGGGACATAGACACTGGCAGCAGCCATTTTGGGGAGCGTGTTCTACCACGTGGACACTGGTGCCCGCAGGTGCCATTTTGGAATCCTCTCCCTAGCTTATTAGCACTGGGATCTACCCCGCAACCCTCACCAGCCTGTTGGCACCAGTACTAGGATCCCTCCAGCAAAGCAGCTCGCCAGGCAGGGACACAGCCCCACCCATCAGCAGCAGGCTTGCTGCCTTGAGAGGCCCTGGGCCCACAGCTGCCCCAGACCCAGCCCTTTAAGACAAACTGGCTCGCTTAGTGGAACAAAAGGGACTTCAGAGTCAGGTAGAGCTGTTTTAGAGTTCATAAAGAACAATCTGAACTTCAGTTACTTAAACTTTAGAGCTTCAATTTCCAAAACTGAATGATGGAAAATTACAATCTACCTTGTGAGGATTAGAGATAATATACACAAAACTCCAAGCAGACTATTTAACATACAATAGAAACACAAAATGTTTATCATTCACTTCAAAGCAAAAATGGCAAAATGATTCTTAATGATTGATTGTGGCTTCCTGGTACACTGTCATGAGAACAGTATGAGTTTGTGATTTGACTCAAGACCCATGGCCCAGGGTCGGTGAGAAATCTCTGTCTCGGGCTCAGTTAGAGAAGCTGAGTCACATTTAATTGTCATCTTCAAATTAAAACTCCTACTTGAGGGAAGGAATGGTAAATGGAGAGAGTAAAGTCTAGTTCCATTAACTCTCCTGAATCTGTGAATCAATCACTGAGTTAAGTCCAAACAATTGACAACCGTTCAGCCAAAAAAAAAGGTATTTTACAAAAATCTGGAACAGTGTTCACCACAGGCAAAGACAGAAGGCAACTAGCTATGGAGAGGAGATGACAATCTTAAAAGAAATAGGAGGTTACTGCAAAAAAAAAAAAAAAAATCAGTGTCAAAAGACTAAAGATGAATATTTACTGGTGGTTTTGTGACTGGTTCCCACTGTACTACCTGGGACATGCTTAAAGTAGTCGGAAAAATATTTGCAGAAATACTACATTTTGGATCAACAGGGCAGCAAGTATCAAAGTGGACAGCTGACGCCAGATGCCTAATTAGCATACCTTTGCTTTTCCTTCAGAATAAGTACATTTATGGCAAATGTTCTCTACTCTTTTTGCCTGGCATTCATAAGGCAGAAGCATAAACAGCAGTTCAACTACGTCATTACAATTACACCGTCAGTTAATATTACAAAAGGCAGTTAAGTCACATTTCCGTGTTAAATGCAATTATTTTAAAAATACACCTTTATTTTATTTCTTGGCTGGGCCATGTGGCATATGGGATCTCAGTTCCCCAACCAGAGATCGAACCCATGCCCCCTGCAATGGAAGCGTGGAGTCTTAACCACTGGACCACCAGGGAAGTCCCTGCAATTATGTTTTATTACAAATATTACAATAAAGGATAGATCTCTCAAAAAATCATGTAATAGGTCATTAATACCATTCTAAATAAATAAACAAAAATTTTAAAAACTGTTTTATTCCTAGTATAGTAAATGTTGCTTGATAAAACCTACATAAACAAACTTATGCTTAGGGTACTACCATATGATCCAGCAATCCCACTACTGGACATATATCCAGAGAAAACCATAATTAGAAAATGTACCTGCACCCCAATGTTCACTGCAGCACTATTTACAATAGCCGAGACATGGAAGCAACCTAAATGTCCATCAGCAGAGGAATGGATAAAAAAAAAGAGATGTGGTACTGGGAATTCCCTGGCAGTCCAGTGGTTAGGGTTCTGCACTTCCACTGCAGGGGGCACGGGTCAATCCCTGGTCAGGGAACTAAATCCCACAAGTTGCACGCTGCAACAACAACAACAAAAAAGATGTGGTACATATATACAATGAAATATTACTCAGCCATAAAAAAAAATGAAATAATGCCATTAGCAGCAACATGGATGGACCTAGAGATTATCATACTGAGTGAAGTAAGTCAGAGAAAGACAAATATCATATGATATCACTCATATGTGGAATCCAATTTTTAAGAATGATACAAATGAACTTACTTACAAAACAGAAACATACACACAGATATTGAAAACAAACTTATGTGATAATCTATATGAGAAAACAATCTGAAAAAGAATTAATATATGTATATGTATAACTGGATCACTTTGCTGTACACCTGAAACTAACACATTTTATTTTATTTATTTATTTTTTAAACATCTTTATTGGAGTATAATTGCTTTACAATGGTGTTAGTTTCTGCTTTATAACAAAGTGAATCAGCTATACATATACATATGTTCCCATATCTCTTCCCTCTTGCATCTCCCTCCCTCCCACCCTCCCTATCCCACCCCTCTAGGCGGTCACAAAACACCGAGCTGATCTCCCTGTGCTATTCGGCTGCTTCCCACTAGCTATCTATTTTACGTTTGGTAGTGTATATATGTCCATGCCAGTCTCTCACTTTGTCCCAGCTTACCCTTCCCCCTCTCCGTATCCTCAAGTTCATTCTCTAGTAGGTCTGTAACACAACATTTTAAATCAACTATAATCCAATAAAAATTTTTTAAAAATTATCCTTAGGGTCCTCACTAATTCTAAGACTATGTACATATAATATTGATTCAAAATGTTTTGAGAATGGATGAGTCATCTCCTGGGGCAGGACTAAGGGAGACAGTGTGACAAAGAATGCTCAAGGCAGGAGAGGGGTCGGGGCAAACACCAGGTCCTGGGTGTGGCTCTCAAGGTCTCAGGACCCGAGAGCAGTGTTTCAGATACAGAAAGCTCAGTGTTGGGTCATCCCCATCCGCCAGGAGGTTCACTTTTTCCCCTCACAATCTGTGTCAGACCCTCCTGCTAGAGTACGCGATCTTGCCCCAGTTCGCACTCCCATAGTGGGTCCGATTTCTGGGGAAGTCAACCAGGGTCACCGAGATTCTCGGTTAAGAGTCCGCACGGGCCGGGACTGATTCTTCCCAGACCCCCTGGATCCAGATCACGGCGCCCTAACCCTTCCTCTTGCTGCTCTCGGGGACGGGGAGGGGGTGGACGGACCCGGGAGAGCGGGATCAAGAGAGAAACGGCATTTGTGGAGGAAGAGCTAAGGGACAGCCTGGCCGGAGCTGAGGACCCCGGGGAAAGCCTCTTCTGCCCCGACCCTTCCGCCACCTGGACCCGGGCCCGGCCCTCCCCCGTGTCCCGCCCCCTCCTCTCGCCCACCCCTAAAGTCGCGGCCTCTCTCTGTCCCGCTGTCCCTTTCCCCTCTTCTCTACCCCCCTCACCCTCTCCTCCCCTCCCGGCCGCGTAGACCTCGGCCCCGGCACCAGTGCGGGGGTGGGGAGATGGGGGCTCTCAGCGCGTCCCCACCGCCATGCTCCCACTCTCTGCAGTGTTTCAACACTGCGTCCCAGCCGTTGGCCGGGAGCCCTGGTATTTCACCAGGAGCCTGAACACCTGCGCGGCTACTACAACCAGAGCGAACCCTGTGAGCGACCCGTGCCTGGTTCCAGGTCATGACCCGCATCCCAACAGATGGACCGCGGTCGCCCCAAGCTTCGCTGGGAGGCTGCGGCACCCGCCTGCCCAGCCCCTTCCACCCGGAAGGAGCCCGCGGCTTCTTTCACCCGGTTTCATTTTCAGTTTAGGCCAGCAGTCCCCAACTTTTTTGCACCAGGAACCGGTTTTGTGTAAGACAAATTTTCGTTCGGGAGCAGGGGAGCGTGGATGGTTCCGGTGGTAATGCGAGCGATGGGGAGCAGCAGATGAAGCTTCGCTAGCGCGCTGCTCACCTCCTGCTGAGCGGCCCTGTTGCTAACAAGCCGGGGACCGGGACCGGTCAGCAGCCCAGGGGTTGCGGACCCCTGGTTTAGGCTATAATCACTGCCCAGAGGTCCGGGAGAGGCTGGCTTTGGGGCGGGGCTAAGTGGGCAGGGCTTAACGTGGGCGGGGTTGTGTGGGCGTGGTTGGTCGGGGGCGGGGCCAGGGTCTCAGACACAAGAGTGGTTTGGTGGACGCGATCCGTCCCGTGTTGCGCGCCTCCTCCGCTGGGTACAGTGAATAAGACGCCTCTGATGGCGCCGGTTACCTCGCCCTGAACGACGGCGCGGTCTGAGCTCGCGGAGGGCAGGGCGGCTTACATCACCCGCGCGAGCGGGAGGCAGCCGGTGAGGCGGAGCGGCACAGGAACTACCTGGAGCGGGAGTGCGTGGAGTGGTAGCCCAGACACCTGGAGAATCTGACAGGACGGGGACGCTGAAGCGGATCTCCCCGACCTCCCCTTGGGCTGGGGCTAGTTTCCCACAAGGGGGAAAAGTGGAATCAGCGTCAGAATACCGCCCCTCCTGCTGCTCTGTAGAAGGAGAAGTCCACCTAGATTTTCATCTTCTGTACTACAGAGCGACTGGCCCAGAGGGCTCGCCTTTCTTTCTTTATTCCTTTTTTTTTCTATTTTTGTTTTTATTTTTAATTATCATACATTAAAATTGACTCTTTTTGATGTACAATTTCATAAATTTTAACACATGCATAGATTCGTACAACCATCACCATAATCCAATATATAAATAGAACAGTTTAGTCACCCCCAAAACACTCTCTCAGGCTTCCCTTTTGTGTTCACATCCTCCGCCCCACCTCCAACTCCTGGCAACCACTAACCTGTTCTCCACCACTACGGTTCTGTCTTTTTGAGACTGCTACATAAACCAAATAATACAATATAATTTTTAACGTTGGTTTCCTTAAAGGACTGTTAAGGAACACAGTCCCTCGCATTGGAGGGGGAGACGATCCCTGAAACGACTGATCAGCTGTTCCCTTTGACCCCGGCAGCTGTCTTGTGAACCACGACCTTCTCTCTCAAGCTCTTGTTCTTTGCCTGAGGACATCCTTGGAGGCCTGATTCCGGTATATCTAAGTCATTCACCCTCTACCCCGGTCAGGAACAGCAGTCTGTGTTCTCCTTCTTAGAGACTTGGAGCCTCCTACCACAGGCTCTCACCCTGATTTTAGAACTTTCCAAGGAGTAGAAGATTATCCCAGATTCGCCAGTCCAGGCTGATGTCTGGGGTTTCTGCTTCCTCCTTCTAAACCAATTGTCCTGTCCATTCTCAGGATGGGCAAGAGTGCTGCTTCAGTGGCCTGTGAAGGTAACCCAAAGTGGGAATTTTCTGAGCCTTCCTCCTCAGAATCCCCAAAGATGCACGTAGCCCACCACCTCATCTCTGCCCCTGAGGTCACCCTGAGGTGCTGGGCCCTGGGCTTCTACCCTGCAGATATCGCTCTGAGCTGGCAGTGTGACAGGAAGGTCCAGATCCAGGACATGGAACTTGCGGAGACAAGGGCTTTCCAGAAGTGGGTGGCCATGGGCATGCCTTTAGGAGAGGAGCTGAGATACGTCTGCTTAGTGCAACAAGCCCATCACCCTGAGATGGTATAAGGAGGGGGCTAAGAGGTGGAGCTTCTCAGAGAAAGCAGAAGCCCTTCTGGACACCTTCAGCAAGGTCAGGGCTCAAGCCTGAGGTCTGGGCCCCTCATCTCACCATCCCCACCATGGGCATCTTTTTTGGCCTGGTTCTGTTTGTGGTCCCTGCTGTGGTGACTAGAACTGTGATGTGAAGGAAGAAGCAGGTCAGGTAGGGAAGGGAGGGAGGGGATCCGAGTTTTCTTATCCCATTGGAGGGTTTTAAGCCTTAGGTAGAAGTTGGCCCTGCCTCATTAATGGGAAATATGATCCACACACAGGTACTTGCCCAGTCTGGAGCTAATTGCTAACCCTTACTTTTTTGTAGAGCACTTGTGAGAATGAAAGACAAAATTTTCACCTTGATAATTCTGGTGTGCGGACCTGATCCCTGACACTCAAAGATCGGAGGGGAAGGTCCCCGCTGAGGACAGACGTCCAGGAGGGCATTTGGTCCAATTCTTCTACATCCCCTTTCTTCATGTTTCCCCATCCTGCCCTGAGTCTTCAGTCACAGTTCTAGGAACTTCTCTGTAGTCCAGGACTGGGGGGTTTGTCTAGGATCTCATGGTCCAGTCTTCTCCCTGGCCTCCCACGTGATGTTTTCTTCCCACAGCCAAAAAACAGGAGGGAGCTCTGCTCAGGCTGCACTAAGTTTGGGTGGGGATGGGGGTTGATCCCTGAGAACCGTGGGAGGGTGTAGGCAGGAGCCCATGGCCGGGACCTCACCCAGCCCATAATTTCTCCCTTAGTCACATCTCTGGGCTTTGACCACATCCTGTTTTTGCTCTACCCCAGTCAGTGAAAATGATCAGTGCTCTGATGTGTCTTTCACAGATCCTAAAGGTGAGAGCCTGGGGGCCTGGAGTGAGGGAGGGGTTGGAGCAGAGGGGACATAACAGGGTTATGGAGATTCTTTGAGTGGGACATTCTGAGCACGCGTGGACTGTTGAGAATGTCAACAGTTAGTGACTGGCCTGAATTTGTTCGCGGTTGTTTTCTTCTGCGGTGTGAGACAGCTGCCTCTGTGTGAGACCAGTGATGCAAAATTTGTTCACTCTCTTGCCATGTGACATCAAGGTCCCCTGACCTCTTTTCTCGCAGCTGGTATCTGAATGTGTGTGTTCCTATTAGCATCACGTGAGGAGGTTGGGAGACTGGCCCACCCCTGCCCACCAGGACTCCCTCTCCACATGACCTGTGTTCTCTTCCCTAGTCAGCTTTCCTGTTCCATCAGAGGCAGCGCTGGGCCATCTCCATCCCTGACTTGACCCCACGTTGTACTAATAATGTTTTACTTCCTTATGGAAAATAAAAAACCGGATATGAATTTCTCGTTTCTAATTTGTGTCTTGTGGGGTTGATGGGTTAATAAAGGAGAAGAGGGGCTTCCCTGGTGGCGCAGTGGTTGAGAGTCCGCCTGCCGATGCAGGGGACACGGGTTGGTGCCCCGGTCCGGGAAGATCCCACATGCCGCAGAGCGGCTGGACCCGTGAGCTATGGCCGCTGAGCCTGCACGTCCGGAGCCTGTGCTCCACAATGGGAGAGGCCACAACAGTGAGAGGCCCGCGTACCGCAAAAAAAATAAATAAAGGAGAAGATTCCTAAAGTTTGAGGCGGGAAGTAAACGGAAGCACTGAGAACCTTCCAGCATGCACGTGTTTGCTGTTGGGGGCCGGGGTGGGATGGGGAAGACTGAAGAGCGAGCGTGGACGGGGCGTGCATCAGTGCCCAGTGCACCAGTGCTCAGTGCATCCTGGGCTTGGGTGTGGTCACTCCTCGGCTGGGTCATCTTCTCTTCTCCTTTGTCCTTGTCCCTTTGGTAGAGCCTTGTCCCACCAGCACCTGTGATCACAGGGACTTAGACATCACCTTGTTCCCGTCCTGTTTCTAGGACCATGGGCAGTGAGGGCTTCATGTAGCCGGGTCAGCCTAGGTTCAGGCCTGGGTCCGGCCCTCAGCTCCCATCGTCTGTGTGTTTATGTTTCGCTTCTGTGGTGTTCTTTTGGATGATGCCTGTTCTTTTTCGTGTTTAGAGTTCTGGTCTCATTCTCCTCGGCGTGTCCCCTCTTTCTGACAGTAGCAGGAGTCATTTTGCCTGTCATCGTCCCCACAAGTCTCAGGGAAGCCCCTGCACGCAGGAGTCTCTGTGGTATTGAGATGAATTTTCAGACTCATCCAGCTCTTGCCCTTTTTCTAGGGGTGTTTCTTGGATTATTCTTCCCATACTTTACCAATATTTTTTTAAAGAACCAGATCTTGGAATGAACAGAGAAGAGGGATCTGGTAGTTTCCCATCTTAATTAAATTCCCGTTGGGTTTCTAGCATCTCTGCAACCTGCCCCCTCTCTCTGCCCTTAGCTCTCATAATCGGAGTGCTGGCTCCAATGCAAACTCATGGATTTATAGAGTCTAATTCAACTCACAGTTGCTTAGAAAATGGGAGCTACAAGCCTAGGCTCATCGTTTCTGAAGAGAGAAACTGAATTGTGTGCTGTAGTATGCAGGAGGGTTGGTGTGAGAGGGGGAGCTTGGTGGAGGGAAGGGAAGGCAGTGCTCGTGAGGAAAGTACAGGTGGCACTGATGTCAGTGTGAGTGGCTGCTGTGCTGCCGCTGCCACGCAACAGCATTTGGCCTGAGGTTCCATTAATAAAGATACTGTCTCTAGAATAGGGAGGTGCTCTATACTGATCATTCACTCAACTGATATCCGTTGTGTGTCAGATATATGACACAGTATTTTTACACCTAGGAAACCTCGGTGAGCTAAAAACAAGCAAACATTGCTGGCCCTGTGGAGCATATGTTCTGTTGGTAAGAGGGAGACTATACTATAAGCATAGTAAATGAGGGAAGTGTTTATGTTAGAGGTTGGTTAGAGCTTTGAGGAAAGTGATTCAGAGTATACACGTGAGGGGGAGGGCAGATGGCTATTCTACTGGTGTGGTCAATGCGGGCCTCATTGAGAACGTGACCTTTGAGAAAAGATTTGCAGGACATGAGAATCGTCTAAGAGGATATCTGGGGGAAGTTCTTTCCAGACAAGAAAAGCCACCAGTGCAAATGCACTAGGCAGGAGTCTGCCTGTGTGTTCAAGGAAGAGTGAGGAGGCCGGTGTGGCCAGAGCAGAGAGGAACTGACATGAGGTCTGATCATGTCAGACCTGCCTAGATCATGTAAGGCCTCAAGGATACTGGAAAGGTTTTGAAACAAAAACATTTTGTTTTGTTTTGTTTCTTTTTTGAAACAAAAAAGAAGAGCAGTTATGTTTTCTAGTCTCCTTCCCCAGCCCTACTCAGAAGACTTAGAATCTTCTCTAGCTTTTGCCAACCTTATCCACCTAGGGACTGGACCCCATTTCTGCACGCCTAGCCCATTGCTGTGATCCTGCTTTAAACCTCATGGACTGACCACCTGAAACAGCAAGGCTGCTGCTACCCATCTGGCCCCAAGTCATGTCCACCTGGAGACTCTTGTACTCAATCCACAAGATCACAACTGCTATTAAGTTGATACTGGCCCTCACCATGAGGTCTCCAGGCTCTTGTCAATACCATGGTAAGAGCTGCTGGCAACCACCCAAAGGCATTGCCTCTAGTGAGTCTGTTGACCTGGTCTAAGCCCTCTGCAGTTCTAGCTCCTGCTTCTTTCCAAATGTCCAGACACTGAAGTCCCAGCAAGCTTCCTGGTAAGCCAGCGCTACATATGTGCCCCCATATTTTACAGATGAGAAAATGCAGATTCAGAGTAGTTGAGAAGATTACCCATAAAAGCAGCAGAAGATTGGCAAAATTTATGTAAATTAGGACAGAGGGGCACACATCACAGTTACTGCAAAAGTTGGACTTAATGAAAGAGTACTATAACAAAAGATTTGAAATTAAATGGACATGTATTAGAATCCTGGCTCAGGTACTAGCTGCAGTATTGTACATGCCTAACCTGTTTCTCAGTTTTCTTACCTCTAAAATGGGGGTAATACCTGCATTAGTTATCTAATACCCCCAAACAAACCCTAAAACAACAAACATTTATTATCTCATAGATCCTGTGGGTCAGGAATCTGGGCCTGCCTCACCTTGCGGCCTCCGGAATCTCATCTGAAGTCTCACGCATCTGGGAGGCCAGACTCAGTTCCTCTTGAGCTGTTGGACTGAGGGTTTCAGTTCCTCACTGGGTTGGCCAGAGGGCCTCCCTCTGTTTCCTGCCCCAAGGTAGCTCACAGCAGGTCAGAGCAAGCAAGCTAGAAAGCAGGAAAGGGCCCTGGAATGTTAAACCAGGCTTTTTATCTCCTAATCTCTGAAGTGTCAGTCTTTCACTTCTGCCATATTCTTCTCTTCTTTAGAAATGAGTCACTAAATCCAGACCAAACCCAAAAGGAGATAATTACACAAGGGTGTGGACACCAGGAGGAGGAGCCAATGGGTGTCATCTCAGGGGTGAATCTTAGATTCATCTTAGGGACTGACTACCACAATGCCTTTAATGTAAAGACTTAAAAAATAGAAAAAAAATATGTACAGCATCCCGCAAACAGTAAGAGCTTAATAAATAACACATATTGGTGAACTACAATTTCTAGCAAAGAATCCTTGTTTAAAACCACAAATGTATACCTCCCAAAGAAGGAGGCTTTGGGCTTCCCTGGTGGCGCAGTGGTCGAGAGTCTGCCTGCCGATGCAGGGGACACGGGTTGGTGCCCCGGTCCGGGAAAATCCCACATGCAGCGGAACGGCTGGGCCGGTGGGCCATGGCCGCTGAGCCTGCACGTCCGGAGCCTGTGCTCCGCAATGGGAGAGGCCACAGCAGGGAGAGGCCCGCGTACCACAAAAAAAAAAGGGAGGCTTGATAAGTCCTTAGATGAGACTCATTTTTATCAGAAGCTGTTTCTGTTTGATCAGTAAGATGGTTGTGCTTCATTGTATTTCAGAATAAGTTTCAGGAAGTGAAACAGAGATTTCTAAAATGTTTATCTGACATTATAAGAAGGAGAAAATCATAGGGTCAGGGTAGGTGTGCCTAGTTGCTAGGAGAGCAAAATCCCTTTAGAAATTAGTCATTTTGAAGGTGATGCTTAATAATGGCATTTAGTTTTAACTGTAGTGTTAGTGAAAATAATCAGGTAGATAAATGTTGAGACTAGAGGCTGTCGCACTTGTATTCTTCATAAAGAACATTACGAAGACTTAGCCTGTGATGGAGGAAGTTCGTTCCTGACATGTGCTCCTCCGACCCCTCTGAGGCTACTACTGAGAGTTTGCTTTCTGTCCCCTTAAATTCTGTGATTCTGCACATGATCTAATACGTCTTTCTGTGACGTCTTTCTTATGACAGCACTTATGTGTTAGAATTGTTTGTCAAAATGTGTTTCTCCCAGTAGAACATACACTTTTTGAGTGCAGAGTCCTTGCCTTAGTTTTATTTACATCCCCAGGTCCTAGCATAGTGCCTGCAGAGAAGACACCCAAGAAATGTATGTAAAATGTTGCTGAATAGTCCATTTCCCCCTCTTTGCAAAATAATTCAGATTAAGATTTTAGCACTCGACCTGACAGGGCATCATTTTTTAGTATATTTAGGGAAGCTTCAGTAATTTTCAGAAACATTCATTTGACAATCTCAAAAAATCCAATTCTTTACAACTTACTTGAAATAGTTTTATAGTAGGGTTCCCCATGACACTAATAAGGTATCAGATGTTCTGAATCCCCTCCAGATTTCCCAACGACCCTTCTTCAAAGGAGTCAATTGATTACGGCTATCTTAAAAAATAATAAATTTCTCTAAAAGTAGATATTGAGGACAGTCCAAGTATGCTGACTGGAAATTTAAAGAAAAAAAAACCCAACAAACAAAACAAAAACTGCAATGAAAGTGATTTTTCCAAGATGAAAAAGAAGCAATCAGAAGAATCTGTTGTAACTGTTTATATTTCTGCTGAAATGTCACTTTATTCCTTGTTAAGTTCCTGACTCCTTGTCATTTCACTCCCCACTTGCCAACAGATGCTGCATTTCAAGTTGGAACAAAGGTTTCTTTTGAGGAAAGTGGCATCGAATGGTAGATTTTACTCTCTTCTCTCATTCTCCGGGCACATGTTCCTCCTTTATCGTACTTCTTTGTCATTTCACCCTCATCTTCCCTCTCCTCTTTTTCCATCGAATCTTCTCACTGTCTCTTCAAGCACTTCTTACTCATTTACCCCAATGTCTTTCCTTTTTCCTCTTCACTCCCCACATATATTCACCACCCATTCTGCTTTATAACGCATTTTTTTTACCTCTTTCGTTATTGAGTCCTCTTTTCTTGTCACACCTGCTTCTACCCTCAGCTGGCTATCATCATTTTTCAAACTCTATACTTAAATGAGCACATCAGTGTGCATCTATTGGAGAAGGGAAAGTAAATAGTGTTTTTCTAAGTTCATATTTTCCCCTTTTAATAATTTGAGCATAAGCTGTTAAGAAGAAAGATGCCTCTGCCCACCATCACATTCCTAGTCTTTATTCTACCTCTTTAATTTTTTTTTATTTTTTGGCCGTGCCGTGCAGCTTGTGAGATCTTAGTTCCCCGACCAGGGATCGAACCTGGGCTCTCAGCAGTGAAAGCAAGGAGTCCTTACCACTGGACCGCCAGGGAATTCCCATTATTCTACCTCTCTTAAAAATGGCATTATTTAATTTAGCTCACAGGAGCTAGAGACAGTACAGAGTGCATCAGAGCACTCAGTGAAGTCAACTGGAATGAGAGAAAAGGGTACACTACTTAAACCCTTGGAGATGAGTCACTAGGTTAAAGGGAAGAAGCCAGGCAAGAAAGAGCAGAGGACGAGTTGAACGAGACCTTGTGGAATTCAGAAAAGGCAAAGCCATCACACTTCAGTCACCATTCTAGAACCAAAGAACTTACAGAAACCCCTTGACCAAGAAACATCCCATGTATCATTGTTGAATACATTAGTGACTGGGAAATATACATTATAAACAAGGAGTCATTTTCCATCTTTAATCATTTTGTCAAAATAATCTGAACATGGGTACATAAATACTTGATTTGTTATAAGAATGTGCAGCATAAAAGTCCCTGAAACATATCCAAGAATGACTTGAACTGTATTCGTTGCAATTATTCACCATACTAATTACCAAGGGCTGGGCTCCCTTCCCTGATATTTAAGGCATGTTATTAAAAAAAGATATATATCATATATACACACATATATAAAATATAATAATTACATATTATATATAAATAGATATATATTTTACTAATGCTACATCAGAGTCTCCCTCTCTGGTGCCTGGATTTTCCACCAGTTTACTGATGCTGTGTAGTAAGTCATTTCCAGACTGTAAAGAAGGCACTTAGGGAGGTAAATTAGTTCTTTAAGCCCTAGGGTGCCAGTTAGTAGAATGAGGGCAATGGAACTAGAAGGTCCCAAGAGAAGATGTTGTCCAACCCCCTCCTTCTGCAGTTCAAGTGACAGAGGCTCAAAGGAGTTGTGACTTGCACAAGCACGGCTGTTTCTGCCGCTATTACTGTAACCTTAGGTAAGTCCTTAACCAGGTCCCTCTTCTGTAAAATGGACTGGTGATCATCACAGCTAACATCTTCCAGGTGCTTCCTGTGTGCCCGACGTTGTTCTGAGTACTTTAAGTGTCTTTTCTAATGCTCCCAACACCTCCATAAATTATATATGATTACCTTCAATTAGAGATGAGAATTTCAATACGCAGAAAGCTTAAATAATTTACCCGAGATGAGACAACTAGGAAACGTTGCAAAGCTGGTCTAGTAACTGCCTCCAAAATTCTCTAATTCCAATGCGTAAAAGAAATCCCCCGCAGGTAGGTTCTCAAATTCCTATCTCTAAAAGTCTAGAGCAGAGTTAACAAACTATAGCCCACAGGCCAAATCCCGGCACCGCCTCTGTTTACAGATTGTCAGTGGCTGCTTTTCGTACTACCAACAGCAGAGGTGAGTAGTGGCAGCAGAGGCTGTATGGCCGGCAATGCCTGAAATATCTACTCTCTGGCCCTTTACAGAAAAAGTGTGCTGATCCCTGCTCTAGAGCTTTGAAAATTTGGAGAATCCTGTAACTGTATAGCACTTTACAATGTACAAAGCACCCTGGCAAACACATTTAATCCTTGTTTTGCAGGGGCATTCATGCATTATAAAGGAGGACGCTAATTTAAGTAACTCGCCTAATCAGGGCCACAGGGGCAGAAAGTGGCAAAACCACACACCCAGGTTTTGACTCCAAATTGCGAGCTCTTTCCATGAAGCTACCCTGTCTCCTCTAAATTACTGCTGAGGAAGTGTTTGGAAACTGGAAAGGACCTGTGAATACTGAAAGCAAGTCAGACTGTCTTCTTGATGCAAATATTTCAGGCGTACTCGTGTAATTAAAGTCATCGAGCACTAAAAATATTAAATTAAATTTGTAATACATTTGAAAGAAAAGTTTATGAAAGCCATTTTGAAACACATGTGATGCATCTCTATGTATTTTTATGTTAGCGTATGTGAAATTGTAACCTGCTCAATTTAGAAGGACTTGAAAAATGAAATCATATAAAATGAGCAATTGCCGCATTTCTCTGGCTGTTTGATGAAATTAGCCTAAAAATATATTGTTTGTTCCTTACCCCAAATTTGCACATAAAACTGCAATTATACCTTCCTCATGCTAAGTATTCAATAAATAACATGGTTAGTTTTAAATAGAGTTAATACCAAGGAGAGCATTAGTAAAATAATACTTATTTAACAATATAAATTAACCAGAACAAAAACAATTTTTTAAAAAAAAATTCACAGAAAGCATAGTGCTTCTTCCTAGTCTGCAAATTCTAGCTCAATCTAAATGGCAGTAATGACTCTTGAAATAGTACGGCTGAGCTTTAGGGATTCATTTGAAATACATGAATAAAAAGGAAGGCCACTTCCTTTTTATTTCAGATATATTCTGTAACATACCCTGAGATTTAATTCTACAACCCCTATAAATGGATAAGGAGGCACCCTGAAACCACTGCAAGAAGGGAAATAAACCTCTCTCTCTGTCACCAATTGAGCCACCACTATGTGTTAGGCACCTTATTACTTTATTTCCTGAACAGCTCATAAGGAGCTGTGAAGTCATTTCCTGCCCCATTTTACAGTTAAGAAAGCTGAGACTCAGGGTTATTACTAATTTGCCCAAGGTCACATGGCTGGAATTCAGAGTTAAGGCAGGTTACCTTCAAACTATCCCCCACTGTCCCATGTAGATTCCCAATAACACCAAGACCACTGACCAATAATTCATAAATACTTATTTTAAGAATAGAATCTTTCCTTCTTTATTGGGGGTTCTATTTTGATATAATTTGATAATTTGATAATTCTCAAATTATTGATAATTTGATAATTCTGCCCATACTATAATATTTTAATGAGGACATTTTATCCAGGGATTTCAATTTCTCCTTTTAAGGAAAAGGGAGAATTGAAGCACCTAGACGTTAGTAAGCGTTTCGAACAAATGCATAGAGATAAAAGTTACTTTATGATTCAGCTAATTGTACTAATCAAATGCAAAATTACTGTTTACAGCAGAATTCTGTATAAACCTAATTAATCTTGGACCTTACCCACAACAGTCACTGAGGGTGCTTATTATAATAAATCAGGGAGAAAAAAACCCCATCATTTCAGGCTTTAAATCAACTGGCTTTCTAATAATTGATTTATGGTATTATTAAGAATGTCACTTTACTCCTAATTTATCCCTCCCCCCCCAAATTAGGAGTTTGGGATTAACAGATACACAATACTATATATAAAACAGATAAACAACAAGGATCCACTGTACAGCACAGGGAACTATATTCAATATCTTGTAATAACCTATAGTGGAAAAGAATCCGAAAAAGAAGATATATTATCTATAATATATATGCTATATAGAATATATATTATATATATATACTACATATATAATATATATATTAACTGAATCACTTTGCTGTACACCTGAAACTAACACAACACTGTAAGTCAACTAACTATATGTCAATCAAAAAAAAAAAAGGAAAAAAACCAAAAAAAAACCCCACTGGATTAATGCCCAGTCAACATATTTGGGCTTCCCTGGTGGCGCAGTGGTTGAGAGTCCGCCTGCCGATGCAGGGCACACGGGTTCGTGCCCCGGTCCGGGAAGATCCCACATGCCGTGGAGCGGCTGGGCCCGTGAGCCATGGCCGCTGAGCCTGCGCGTCCGGAGCCTGTACTCCGCAACGGGAGAGGCCACAGCAGTGAAAGGCCCGCGTACCACAAAAAAAAAAAAAAATGGGGGCTTCCCTGGTAGCGCAGTGGTTAAGAATCCGCCTGCCAATTCAGGGGACACGCGCGGAGCAACTAAGCCCGTGCACCATAACTACTGAGCCTGCAATCTAGAGCCCGCGAGCCACAACTACTGAACCCGTGTGCCACAACTACTGAAGCCCACGCGCCTAGAGCCCGTGCTCCGCAACAAGAGAAGCCACCACATTGAGAAGCCCACGCACCTCAACAAAGGGTAGCCTGGGGCTTCCCTGGTGGCGCAGTAGTTGAGAATCCGCCTATCAATGCAGGGGACATGGGTTCGGGCCCTGGTCCGGGAAGATCCCACACGCCGCAGCGCAACTAAGCCCGTGCACCACAGCCACTGAGCCTGTGCTCTAGAGCCCACGTGCCACAACTACTGAGCCCGTGTGCTGCAACTACTGAAGCCTGGGCGCCTAAAGCCCGTGCTCCACAATGAGAAGTCACCGCAAAGAGAAGCCCGCGCACTGCAATGAAGACCCAACACAGCCAAAAATAAAATAAAATAAATAAATTAAAACAAACAAACAAACAAAAAAAGAGTAGCCCCCGCTTGCCGCAACTAGAGAAAGACTGCGCACAGCAACAAGGACCCAATGCAGCCAAAACTAAATTAAATTTTTTAAAAAAGAACGTTACTTTAAACAAATAAGTTCGGCCAATTGATTTATCAAAGTCCACTATTTACTTTTTGACAGTGGTAGATTATAAGAGCCTTAAAGAGAGGAACCTAGCCTTACACATTTTTGTTTTTCCCGTGGTGCAGGTACATGGTGACACCTAATATGCTGTTCATTCAACAACTTTTAAAGTCAATGCATATATTTTCAAAGTTGGTCCCACAGCACAGTCTCAAGGGCACTAGAAATGTGAGGATGTACCCACTGTACTACTGGGCAGACCAGGAGGGGAACCTGGTGGCCCCAGGGAGAATTGCAGATTTCTGTAACAAAAGATAAAGTTTTTACTGCAGGCACTGATTAAGTTCTATTCCCTAGCAACTAAACATTTAACTTAAAACAGACAGAATCAAAAACCGCTATTAACAGACGGGAAACTTTCTTCCTTTTGCATGATTCCATAATACAGTGCAATCCCTTTCATTGTTCTGCAGACAGGTAATGCCAGGACCCCATGGAGGACTGACTTTCCAGTTTTAAATTTCAGCTCCAGTAAAGACACAAAATAAATAATTTTGTGGAAAGTGACACTGTGGCTTCCTTCTCTTCTGTTTGTAAACACAGGCTGGTTTTCTGGGAGGAAGGGAGAAGAAGGTTGCTTCTGCTTTATTTTCACATCTGTAATTTTAATATGCTTTTTAAAAGATCCAGGTTATAGAAAAACATAGACACAGAAAAAATCAGTTAGCAGATGATTATTCACATTATAAAGGGATTCTCCATAGGGTTCCATTAAATATTGCGCTCTTCTAAAACAGTGAATTTGATTTAAAAGCGGCTTTTCAAGAATACATTTGTGTAAAGTGAGGTACACCAAATATTCATCCTAACTCTTCTCCAAGGACAATCCAGCATCTTGTTTCCATTCATAAAGCAAGGGAACAAACAACAGCACTTGTTAAGGAAGTCAGTGGATTCTTGGACCACCCTCCTCACCTTTCTTAGGAGATGACGCTTTGAGAAATCCAGGCACAAAGAGAAAGACCCACCTGTGGCCACAGTCCTTTCTCTATCCTGCAACAAGGCTCTTTCTGAAACCAGGGGTTTGCCGCATTCGGCCCAGTCACGTGAGTGGAGGAGCATTGTGTGAGATTTGGACTCAGCACAGGCCACAAATATGGCCTGTGGCACATGAGGAAATTCAGAGCCACTGACAATTGTTTCTTGTAGGTAAGCTGTTTCTTCACCTCTGCACTGGTTACAAGGGGAGGAAGGCCCCCATCTTCACCCCAGAGCTCAGATGCCCTTGGACAGCAGAGGAAGCCCAACTGCTAGTTGTCCAAAAACCATGAGCACCCAGGACCCTTCCCACCCAGTCTTTGTGCTGAATAATATTACTTGGTAAGTCAACTTTAATCTATGGGAATAGATTAAAAATGGGTGTTTGGAAAATACAGTCCCATGATCCGGCAGTTAAGGAGATGCACAGCGGAGGATCCGGAGGATCCAAAAGCCGACGACTTGGCCTCCCTGGGTTACAGCCAGGGGAGGGTGGCTTCACCGCTGAAACCAGCCAGCCAAGTTAGGGACGCTCTTGGGCTGGTCCCCAGACATCTGCACAGCCTGGCAGGCCCGGCACCAAGGCTCGTCCCAGAAGGAGGTGACGTGCACGGCATAGCTCCGACGCCAGCTGAAGTATCCGCGGTAGGCAGCTGGGTTTCGATCGAGGAATTGCAGGTGGGCCGCCAGGGAGGAGGCATCAGGGAAGTCGTCCACGTGGATGAAGGCACGGCGGGGCATGAAGCGCTCGTAATTGGCACGGTCTGGGCCCAGCACCACCGGCACCGCCCCAGCCAGGAAGGCGTTACGCCACAGCTTCTCCGTGATATAATCCAGGTGCTGCGAGTTCTCGAAGGCCAGGTAGAACTTGTAGCGGGCCACTGTGTGCAGGAGCCCGACGTCGGGCAGCGGCTGCCCGGGCCCACCCTTGCCGAAGACGTCTACGGTCACGTACTGGCTCAGCTGGCGGTAGTAGCGGACCCGCGCCTGGCGCTCGTCCCAGTTGCTCACCACCCAGGCCACCAGCCCTTGTTTCCGGGCCAGCGGCGGGACCAGACCCGGCGGCTGCTCGCTGGGATGGGTCCTGGGGTAGAGGTAGCCGTAAGGCACGAAGATGTCCGAGTCGGCCCGGTAGGAGAGCGTCCAGTTGAAGAGGTTACCTGCCAGGCTCTGCAGCCCCGGGGAGTGGGTGGGCGACTCGAAGTTCATCCACACCCAGCGCTGGCCGGGGGGCCTGGGGCCCGAGGCAGCCAGGGCTAAGGCCTCCGCGGCTTCCTCCTCGTCGTCCATCAGCACCTGCTGCTCCTCCGCCGGGCGCACGTAGACGCCCCAGGGCGGGGGCCAGTCCTGGGGTCCCCTCACCAGGTCTCTGTGGTGGAAAAGCACCGCCTGGGCCTCCCCGTAGGCCGCGCGATCAGTGAGCAGGAGGCAGCCGCTGATGTTGAAGCGCAACCGGCAATCGGGGTGCGGCCTTTTGGCTCTGTGCCGGCCCCCGAAGGGCTCCCACCACAGCAGCACGCTCACCCGCCGCGGCGGGACGGAGGAGGCCCAGGGCAGGGGCGGCAGCTGCTTCCAGCAAACATAGACGACCACGGCGCTGCACACCAGGCTGGCGGCCATCAGCGCCAGATGGGCCTCGGACCGCCTCAGGCCTCCACGCGGAGTGCGCCGCCCGCCCCACCGCGCGCTCATGGCGAGCGCCGGCAGAGCCGCCACCGCCTGCCGCGCGGCCGCAAGCCCGGAGCGGCGGCGACCGCTCTCATGCTGCCACTGAGGGTCCAGCCTTCGTTGCTGCTCGCCGCCCGACCTGGAGCGGGAAAGGGCGGTCCCAGTATCTAAAGGCCCGCAGGTCTTCCTCTCTTCCTCAACACTCATCGCCCGGCAAGGGTCCAGGGCGACGGAAGCAGACGCGGCGGCCCAGCCCGGCGCAGCCCCGTCCCTCCCCTCAACTGCGCGCCCGACCAGACCAGCCCGGCCAAGCCCTGGACGCCTCCTGCGGCACCTCCGCCCACTCCCCGGCCCCTCCAGGGTTCCCGGACTCCCCGGCAGCGCCCCGCCCGCGACTCCGGATGCCGTCGCCGTGATCCCGGACCTCTCCGCGTACCCCACGCCTTGGCCTGGCGCTGGTGCTCTCGCCCGCCGGGGATTCCCTCCCAGCTGCGCCCGAGCCCTCAATCGCGGCCGCCCAGATCCTTGCCTTCCAGAGTGAGGGCCCGGTCCATCCCTGGGCGCCGGCAGGTGGCGCGAGACCCTCCAGAAGCCGCGGCGGCGCGAGCGCAGGCGGGCACGGGAGGAAGGCGGCCCAGGGGTGCCGAGCCTCCGGGCGGGATCGAAGATCCGCTTCCTTCCTCTCGCCCCATCAATGGCCAGCGACGCCTGCCGGAGGGAGGGAGCCCGCGAGGCCAAGGAGACGTGCTGAAAGAGGCGCAGCCTACGCGAAGCCGACCTTGACCTCGTGACCTGCCGCCGACGCAGGCAGGTAGTGCAGTCCGCTCCCGCGGCGCGGCCCACAAAGGTGGTGCATTTTGTGAAACCAAGTTTTCAAGGAAACCCTACTGTCAGGAGAACATTCGCTTTGCCTACAGCCCCAAAAGAGGAAAGAGAAGAATCGAAAATTTTCTGAGCAATGAAAACACGTTCTTTTTCTTCGCTCCCCCACTGAATGAACGCTTCTGCCTGCTGGCTCATAGCTTTCTTTGTACCAGAGCTATGAATTTCCTGCCTATTCAGTGGGATGAATGAATGAACAACACCATTAATTTTACTAAGCACTTAAGAAACAGCGTAGTATCTGCACTCATGAAGATCCAGCGAAACACTCTGAACTATAAAACGATGACTAAGATAAATATTATAGCATCCAAGTTTAGGGTATAAAGGGTAAGTATCACAGTGGCCTCTTCAGGTTTATCAATGAAGCAACTGAGGCATCTACTTCTACCTTGACTTAAGGAGTTTTTTTTCCCTGATGGCTTGAATTTGAATTTCTGGATTTTGGCCTTCATTTATGTAATTTAACTTTTATTCAGCAAAGTTCTAAATAGGGCATGGGTGGGCTGCTGACCTAAGGAGAGGAGGCAGTTTTGAGAGAATTTCTAGATCACAGCAGTGCATTGGTGGTGCCCCAGCCCAGTGCCATGTAAGTTACAAGATGTTAGGGAATAAGTAGACTTGCTGGGAATGGGGCCATCCTTTCAGGTGTTTTTGATGTTATGCCATTTGGATTTATTGTGCAGAACTTTTTCATTGAAAACCAAGTACAGATTGTAAAAGCTTCTATAAAAATGGTTTCATTTAGGTAGTTTCAAGTGGCATTACCTGCCCACCCACAGTGACAATTTGGGAGCTGAATGGACAGCGCTAGGTGCTCTGGCTGTACCCATCAACCTAGTGATACTTTCTCCTACACACCAAAAACTTTTACAATGTTTTTATAGAATCATTTTTCAAGCTAGTTAAGCAAATTGTCTTTGAAATTAGAAATTTCAGTGATTCTCCACTCTTATTTTTAATTAGAAAGAAAAAGCTATAAATGCATGAATAACTTTTTTCAACCAAAGGAAGGAAAGGACATATTGGCTTTTCTTTTTATGCAATTCAAAAATCTATACCTTTATGCCCATTCCTCCCCAACTTCAGTTAAATAAGACATCATAGATAGAGCCTAACATTGTGTTTGGCATTTGGTAAATGTTAGCCTACTTGCTTGTATCCTCCCCCCACTCCCAGTTTTCCCTTAGATCCTTCAGATATTCCAATTAAAGCAACTTTATACTGGCAGAACGGCTCAGATCTCATGAATATCAATTTCCATTGTGTCCACTTATCTTGGTAGGGTGCAGGACCACAAACTGTCCCTACTTCAGTCATATCTTGGTGTATGCGAGGGGATACCAAGCAGAAGGTTGTGGCTGGATCAGTGAAAAAGTCATGACTTACCTACAAACTATATGCATTTATTCACCGGGCAATGGTTTGTTCTTGCTTAAAAGGGGTGGAGGGGAGGAGGCAAGAGGAGGAAAGGCTTTAAGGGAAAGTAATAAAGCCAGGTGTTCTCATTTATTCATTTAGCCAACTGGGAAACTGGGATGAAAAACACTATTTCTACCTTTCAGAATCTATGGAGAGGAAGGGATCTTGGAAGGTTTTGAGAAGGTGGTTCCTGGAATAATTAGGAATGATTAAAATGGGGGAGGAAGAGGGCTGAGACATTAGTCTAAACAGAAGAAGCAGCATATGCAAAGGCCAGGCAGTGAGAACCAGGATAGTAGGTTAGGAATTACAAGAGTTTAGTTTGGCTGAGGAGATAGGGTTTTATCCTGAAGCCTGTGGAGAGTCCTTGAAAGGCTGTAACAAAGCAAGGGAGCAATATAATGAGATTAGTATTCTTTTTTAAATTTATTTATTTTATTTATTTTAGTTTTGGCTGCGTTGGGTCTTCGTTGCTGTGCGTGGGCTTTCTCTAGTTGTGGTGAGCGGGGGCTACCCTTCGTTGCAGTGCGCGGGTTTCTCATTGCGGTGGCTTCTTGCGGAGCATGGGCTGTAGTTGCACAGGCTTCAGTAGTTGTGGCTTGCGGCTTCTAGAGTGCAGGCTCAGTGGTTGTGGCACACGGGCTTAATTGCTCTGCGGCATGTGGGATCTTCCCAGCCCAGGGCTCAAACCTGTGTCCTCTGCATTGGCAGGCGGATTCTTAACCACTGTGCCACCAGGGAAGCCCTGAGATTAGTATTTTTAAAAACTCATTTGTGGGAGGAGGTGAGTATACAGAAGAGGACGTGAGATGGGCTTCTGGTGTGGTGGCCATGTTTATTGATGTGGGCACTGGTTAATGGGTGTGCTTGGTTGAGGAAATTCATCAAGCTGTATGCTTACATATGTAATTTTATGTATGTATATAATATGTCAGTAAAATGTTGCTAAGAAACAAATCATTCCGTCATCACTAAAGAATGAGTTGGATATTAGGGACCAGGATAAGAGTAGAAGTATCCAGTCCAGTTAGAAAGCTCTTGCTGTAATTCAGATGTGAAACAAAAAAAGCCTGAACTAAGACAGTAGCTGTGAGGATGAGATTAAATTAAAATTAAAGGAGAATAGATGCAGAGGTACTTAGGAAGCCAGTCTCTTTCTCCAGGAAGCCTTCCTGGACACCCATATGAACACATCCAGGGTAGGTTGCATGCCCCTCCTGTGTGTGCCCATATACACATCTTTCAGAACATCATTGGGCAGCAATCATGGCTGTTTCAGTCAAACTCCATCTCTTGCACAGAACCAGGCATCTAGTAGTATTCATCATCTCAATGAATACTTGAATGAATGAATGAATGCTCTTAATGTATTATTGAAATGATCTTTTGGTATCACTGTTCCCCAACTAGAAAGTGGGCCAGTATCAGGAGAAGCTGACAATATGAATGACTTGCTGTGACCTTAAGAAGCTCCTTAAGCTTTCCGTGTAAAATGCTACACATGTACTAATCAGGACCCCGGGGACAAGCTTCGGAAACTCCATCAGATTAGGCTGGGTCTCGGGGCTTCCCTGGTGGTGCAGTGGTTGAGAGTCTGCCTGCCGATGCAAGGGACACGGGTTCGTGCCCTGGTCCGGGAGGATCTCACATGCCGCGGAGCGGCTGGGCCCATGAGCCATGGCTGCTGAGCCTGCGCGTCCGGAGCCTGTGCTCCGCAACGGGAGAGGCCACAACAGTGAGAGGCCCGGGTACCGCAAAAAAAAAAAAAATTAGGGTGGGTCTCATTGGCCCAACCTGGACAGGGTGCTCATTCTCGAAGCAATCACTGTGGTCAGGGGATGTGGACTCTCTTTACACCCTCTTCTGGATCTAAGGGGTAGAATCAGTCCCATGTAAACCTCGTGGACTAATAGTGGGGTGAAGGTAGTTGCCCAAAGGAAAAAGTGAAGTGCTGTTCCTTGAAGAAGAGGGAAGGGATGGTGGACAGAGGCCAACACAACGTGTCTACCAGCCTTGTGCAAGGAATTATTATTATTCTAAATGAATTCTAAATCAATTTAGAACTTTAAACATTCTATGATTCTTTTTAATTTGGTAATAATAAACAAATGTTTCTGTTGTGTATTTAAAGGCCTCCCAGTTTCCACAAAATATTACACAGGAAAAACTGGATCTCAGTCGCAAGCACGATGACAAAGTCAGGTATCAGGAAGGGCTTTTGGCCCCTGAATTTGCTAAAGATGTGTAGAGGGGAGCTCCGAAATTCAAGGCTCATTTTTTTTCTTTTTTTAAAAAATACGGAACACTTCATGAATTTGCATGTCTTCCTTGTTCAGGGACCGTGCTAATCTTCTCTGTATCGTTCCAATTTTAGTATATGTGCTGCCAAAACGAGCATTCAAGGCTCATTTAATCAAGATAGATGAGGGCTCCATGCACAATGGGGCCAAGAATGGCCTATTCAGTTCCAAATTCTCTGGGGGCAAGAACCAGGCCAACTGTGGTTCCTCGAAATCTAACTCGTGCTTTGTTCTTCCCCAGGGAAAGAATTCATTTTAAGCCTGTCCTACTGCTCTTCGCCAGAGACGGTTGCTGTTTTCCAGGGATGCCTCAGAACGTGTTCTGACCGCCTTGAGTCTGCCCGCGAGCACCAAGCTCGGTCAGCTGCAGGTGCATGAGAAACAGGCTACCCTCTAATGGGTGGCTGTTTTTCGCTGAGATTTCTGTGGCTGAACATTGACCTGCCAAGTATACTTCAAATGTTTTTCTTGAAGAGATAAAATGGCAAAGTTCCTCCCAGTATTACGTACTTACCGGGAAATGGGGAGCGGCCAGTGAGCAGGTGCAACTGGAAAAGCTAACCCGTATGCAAAAAAAGATGGGCTTATTTCTTTCGTCAGATACAAGTTTTTAACTGTGTATAACTGGGCAGATGATTATGCAATGATTGTTAGTTTAAAAGTATTAGGAATTGTATAAATTCCCCAACAATCCACAAGTTATTGGTCATTGCCCTATTAATTCCTTGATAGAAAAAGAAAACTAACACCAGCTTTTAAGGTCATTTCTTTTCATCTAAGTGCAAAAATTTACTGCCCCTAAAAGATATTGTTATGAATAGTCAATATGAGAATTTATTACATTTATTTTAGGGTTTTACTCGTATGCACTCAAGTTCTTCCTGTATTCTTACTTGACTGAACAGGTAGTGCAAGAATTTTGGATGTTCAGAAAAAGGTACATTGTGCAATTCTGGTTAAAGTCAGAAATATTCGCACCATATTTAAAATATTTATAGGGCTTACTTCTGCATTCTTCTTGTTAAACTACTCTTTCCTAAAATAGAGTTTATTTGCAGTCACATGTAGAAGTTATGGAATACAAGACTTATACAAAAGAAAATTATTCTGACATTGCAATAAACATGTTAATATCACACAGTGCAATGCCTGGCACATACGAGGTGTTTAATAAATGTTTGTTAACTAAATGAATAGATGAGTGAATCAATGAACACCACTGTTAATTTTACTTTTCATGAGGCACTTATGAAACAGTTCACTTTCTTCATTCATGGAGAGTATGCAAAAGACTTTGGACTAAAAAGTAATGACTAAGATAAATAATATAGCACAAGTGTAGGGTGAAAATGGTAAGTATCATACTGGCCCCCCCAAATCCTCTTCAGGTTCACCAGCATTATCTCTGCACCTCACCTGAAGTCTACTTGGGTCCTCAGTCAAATGAGTTAGCTCAAATTCCATACGGCACTGCAGGAACCACTTCTATCCTGGAAGCACCACTGGACTCTGCAAAAAAAGGGAACTTCTTTGAGTGAGCTCGCTGTTCAAAGACTTAATTTCCAGGATCATCTAAGACAGGAGGGGAATAACAGCCCCTCTTGAGGTCAGAGAAGAGAAATTAGATGTGAATAAAAGCCATAGATGCTGCCTGACCACCATTCACACATTCTCACCGTTCGTCACTGGAAATCTGCTGTGCCTCTTTAGTTCCCTTGAAACTCTCAAGGGCCCATTTCCCTGTCCACAGTTTGAGAAAGAACTTTGGGGGTTGTTGTTAGAAGATTTTGATATGATGACCCCAGGATTGGCTGTGTTCCTTTAAAAGGTAAAATACTGCAGTGTTTCTTTATTTGGATTTATTATGACGACTCCTTTGTCGTTATCAGCTTGCAGAGCTATTTTTCAAGTGTGTTCCAGGAAATACAGGACTGAGAATCGTTCTATATTGACATTTGAAGGGCTCCATTAGGGTCAGACCTTGTTTGGGCTTAAAAACTTGCAAAGGCTATAACTTCATGTAGTAACACTTATTGGATGTCCATTATGTGCCAGACACATGAGGTATATTTGAACAAACAGACAAAAATTTCTTCCCTTGTGGGACATGTAGCTATCACACTCAACCCACCCGCGTAAATTATAGCTTTAGAGAAATTCCAGATCTGAAGAATCCAAAGGTAGACTTCAGAAGCTATGATGTGTTAGGCCTTTAGTCACCCTGCCTATTTGCTTCTTGAGGCAACATTTCCTTGATTGCCTTGTCACTTTGTCATTTGTCACTTCTGAACTGATCAAGTGTCATTATCAGAGTGGAAAGGTCTTTCAGACACCTATCTTTGCAACTTTCTCATATCCATTTATAAATAGTTAAGCAAGGTTTGTTCATATTATCAAAGACGTTTTTCAAGTTAAAGCAAAGCAATGTTTTTTGAGGGGTGGGGTGTACACCTGGGTCTCTCCACCCAAAAGTTTCCACTCTAACCCCTTTAGCTATAGAGACCTGGAATTATGAACCGGAAGGAAGCTACTTAGCTGACACACGTGCTCCAAGCAGGTATTATAATTAAGTCAGATAAAACTAAAGGCAGTTGTACTACTAAGGATTCTTTTTGTTGCCGTTACAGTGACTTACTAGAGACAGATTTATGATGACTGTTTTTTTTTTTTTTTGGCCACACCGTGCAGCATGCAGTATCTTAGTTCTCTGACCAGGGATCAAACCCGTGCCCCCTGCAGTGGAAGTGCAGAGTCTTAACCACTGGACTGCCAGGGAAGTCCCAGCTTTAGACCAAAAAATAAAAGGGCAGGGTTGGGGACAAAATTTACCATCATGTAAGAAGTGGGTCTCATAGAAACCCACCTTTTTTTTTTTTTAAAATAGTTGAAGAGTTTTATTAAAAATAGTAAGGAAAAAAAGCTAATGTAATTAAGTTAAAGAGTCATTAGGCAGAAATTTCCTTAAATGATGAGAGACTTAACCCTTCCATGAGTCCAAAGGCCCCTCCACTGAGGGACAGTCTCCAGTGATGCCCTACATGTCCACTGGTTCCCAGGCTCTCATCTGACCAACTCACGGGTAGGTAAGGCCTTGGTGTCCTGCACCCAAGGCTAGTCTGTGACAGAGAGCTCCCTTGAACAAAATTTACTATCTTGCGAGAAGGGGTTCTTACAAAGCCCAGGAGGAGGACTACAGGGCAGAGAATGCTGGCAGAATGCTACATCTGCTTCTTTCCCTCGGCCCTGCCACCCCTATCAGCTTTCTGTGTTTCTCCAGTTCACTGGGCAGAATATGGTTCTCCCTAACTCCATAGTTCTCCAACAGCAGAGTCTGACAAGCAGATTTTGAATCTCAGTTTTAAGTCTTTGGCAGCAAAAATCTGACTGGACTACCTTGGGCCTGGTGTCCCTCTAGTGAAATTAGCTATGGTCTGGCACTGGGTCCAGAGCAGTGGTGGTCAGTAGGTGGTTTGGGGCAAGGAGTGGGCATACTAGTTCTCAGAGAAATGAACACCTTTGTGAGCTGAACAGAGGGGTCTGCCTCTTGTGTTTGTTCTGATTTTGAACAGATGACCAAGGAAGGAACTTTCTCAGTCTTTCTATTATTTCCATAAACAAATGCTCCCTTATGTCTAAAATAAATACCTGCAAACAACTTATTATGAAAAACTATAAACACAAAAGTAGAAAGAAAAGGGTGATGAACCCCCAGTTCCCTTTATCAAGATTCAGCAATTATTAAGATTGCCCACTTACGCGCCACCTAACCATTTTTCTTTTATTTCTGTTTTCAAGTAAATCCCATATATCATCTTTCATTCCTTCATGATTAAGTATGTCACCTACAAAGTCTACTTACCAAAAGAGCTGAACCTGAATCCAATCAAGCCACAGGTAACTTCACACCAGGCGGCACTTGGTGTCCAATTGTTGCACTTGTGTGATGTTAAGATTAATCACAGGTTCTTGTGGTGCCCAGCCTTCTCTCCCAATGAGGAATCTCCCATCAACATTTGTCTAGGGCTTCCCTGGTGGCGCAGTGGTTAAGAATCCACCTGCCAATGCAGGACACACGGGTTCGAGCCCTGGTCCGGGAAGATCCCACATGCCGTGGAGCAACTAAGCCCATGCGCCACAACTACTGAGCCTGTGCTCTGGAGCCTGCGAGCCAACTCAATGAGAAGCCAGCACGCCGCAACTACAGAAAAGCCCGCGCGTAGCAACAAAGACCCAGCACGGCCAAAAATAAAAACAAATAAATTTAAAAAGACGAAAAAACCACATTCGTCCAATGGTTTCACCCATGGATGAGCAGAGTCAGTTAATGTTTTGGGGATTATAAAATGGTAGCTTCACTAATCTATCATTCTTTCCACACTTATTAACTGAAATTCTGTAAAGAGGACTTCCCTTAATCTACTAGGGCTATTTGGTACCTAAATTACCAAATTGTTCAGAAAAGGTAGGATAATAGATAATTCTTTCTTTTCAGTTGCTGCCTTTGTAAGTAAGAATTAATGCCTTTGCAATCTCGATTGGTGTTTAGTGAAGCTGGGTTTGTTTTTGTTGTCGCTGTTTGCCTTATTCTCTCTCATTTAAAAAATATCCTTATGAACTCATGGCTTTTTATATATTCAGTGAGTGCCAATTTTTTTATGCTAAAATTTCCCCATCTTTGGCCAGAGGATTCGTGGTGGCTCCTAAGTCCTTTGGATATGACCTATTAATTTTGGAAACTTCCCTGTTTTCCGTACGAGATGTTCCAAATTCGTCCTGGAGATTTCCTGCCTCAGATCTGGAATCAGACATTCCTCCAAGGAGCCATGACTTCTTTTTTAATCTAAGTGATTTTTTTTTCCTTTGGGGGTACGTGGGCCTCTCACCGTTGCGTCCTCTCCCCTTGCGGAGCACAGGCTCCGGACACGCAGGCTCAGCGGCCATGGCTCACGGGCCCAGCCACTCCGCGGCATGTGGGATCCTCCCGGACCGGGGCACGAACCCGTGTCCCCTGCAACGCCAAGCGGACTCTCAACCACTGCGCCACCAGGAAAGCCCAATCTAAGTGTTCTTAAAAATCAACTTTATTGAGGTACTAGGGGTTAGGATTTCCATATAAGAATTTTGGGGAGACATAATTCAACCTATATTCAACATGGGGAATTTTTTTAAATGTTATGAACAATATGAATTGTTTAACTTACCAGGTTTTCCTTTCAATATTGGCTACCAGAATCAAACTTGATAAACTTTAAATTAGAATTTAAATGAAAGAATATAGTGAAGTAAAGATCAGGATCAGGGGGAAAAGACACAGCTTAATGATCTAGGCACACTTACAATAGAAAGACCACAAATCTCATTGTTAAAGAATCTGAAGCCGTAAATCTTTTTACGCGCAGGCTCAGTGGCCATGGCTCACGGGCCCAGCCACTCCACGGCATGTGGGATCTTCCCGGACCGGGGCACGAACCCATGTCCCCTGCATCGGCAGGCGGACTCTCAACCACTGCGCCACCAGGGAAGCCCCGTAAATCTTTTTTGAAACTCCCCAGAGTATAAAGAAATAAAGGGTTGCTGGGGAAGGAAGAAAGTAAGGCAGACAGGCAGTTAGAAAGAAAAGAACGAAGGAAGGAAGGAAAAATGAGAAGGAAGAGAGGAAAATGAGAGGGAGTAAGAGAGGGGTGGAGAAGAGAGAGAGAAACAGAGACAGAGAGAGAGAAAGAGAGAGATTAGGAGCTAATCCAAATCTACATTGTTGGGACACAACTAAATCTTAGGCCCAATGACGTTGCACCCTACCCCCATGTCCCTGGATAATTAGTTTGGGTATATTTTTCTTTTTCATTTTCTCTTTACATATTGTAATACTATTTCTTAGGAAATAGGTAATACTATTAAATAAGAATATAGAAAGCCCAATTAGAGTTTCAACACAATCCCAGCTGCAGGGGAAATCCTAATCTCTTTGCTTTTTAGCATTCCGAGAAGCAGTCCTTTCTTTCCCGAGATAATTTTCCTATGCTCTGTTTTGTTTTGAAGATATACATAAAGAACACAAAACTTGGGCTTCCCTGGTGGCGCAGTGGTTGAGAGTCTGCCAGCCGATTCAGGGGACACGGGTTCGTGCCCCAGTCGGGAAAGATCCCACATGCCGCAGAGCGGCTGGGCGCGTGAGTCATGGCTGTTGAGCCTGCGCGTCCGGAGCCTGTGCTCCGCAACGGGAGAGGCCACAACAGTGAGAGGCCCGTGTAGAACACAAAACTTAAGCACACAGCTCAGTGCTTTTTACATGCAACACACACAAACTCTTACAACTACCCAGATAAAGATATAAAACACGACAGGATCCTTCATGCTTGTTTCTAGTCAATAGTTCCCAAAGGAAACCACTATTTTTCATAGTTAAATTTATCATTTTTATTGTTTCTGACTTTCATATCATACTTAGAAAATCATACTTCTCCACCCCAATATTTTCTTTAAAATCTGCCCATATTGTCTTCTGTTACTTTTATTGTTTTATTTTATTTTATTTATTTTTAAATTGAAGTATAGTTGATTTACAATGTTTCAGTTGTACAGCAAAGTGATTCAGTTATACAGATATGTGTGTGTATATATATATATATATATATATATATATATACACACACACATATATGCATTCTTTTTCAGGTTCTTTGGAAGCTACTATTTTGACTTCTGTCTCTATAGGTTAGTTTTACCTGTTTTTCAAAATCTGTACCTGGATTCCTCCAGTATGTTCTCTTTTGTGCCTGGCTTCTTTTTGTCATCATAATGACTGTGAGAGTCACTGGTCTCATATGGTTTATTCTTTTTTGTTTTCTTGTATCTTTCCACTGTATAAATATATTACAATTTATCTAGTCTCCTGTTGATAGACATTTGGGTTGTTTCCATTTTTAGGCTATTTTGAATAAAGCCGTCATAAACATTTTTTCACTGTCCTTTTCAGTGGCATCATCTATTGTACAGGCACCATAAAAAAATATGGGTTTGTATTTAAGAGATATCATTACCATTTACCATCAAAAGGGTATCTAAAAAGAAAGAAAACAAAGCTAAAAGTAACTGAGACATGGCAAGAAATAAAATATATAAAATTACCTTGGTGCGGTCAGGGAAGATTATTTCATAGCATTTATTGTGTTTGTCTCATATATACAGCACATATTTACTATATAAAAATTTTTTTAATATAGAAAATATAAAGAAGATAAAGAAAATATTGCTCCTCCCCCAACTCCATCCCCAGATAACCACTGTTTGTATTTGGGTATTTAACGAATATACAGTATAATATAGTTTATATACATATGTAGTTTATATATATTGTGTATTGGGCAGAAGTAGAGTGGAAATGAGGAAGGAAATCCTTGAGCACGTGTTTGTAAAGTAACCCTGAAAGCCCAAGTGCAAACAGGGCATCGTTTCTAATGGGTGAATAAAAGTCAATACTCCCCAGCCACTGCTCCTTTTGTGTGGCATCCTAATATACATGCAGAAAGGTTGATTGTAAGAATCTGGGGGAGGTTAAGCGTTTAGATTCGTAAGCATTGTAAATGTTTTACCCCATTTTCAGGTAGTTTGGGGTGTTATATTTCTTGACTAATTGAAGATGTAATCTCTCCAATTTTAGCCACTGGCTCACAACACTGTTTTTTAAGTAGCCAATGATGAGAGAGTTCCATTAACATGGTGATGGCTGGAACTGGCTTACATGTAGGATCTCTTAATGTGTATTAACTAAATGGAAGTTTTTGTATTAAATCTGGAAAAGTTTGGATTTTGACTCAAGAGATTATTGACTGTTTCACAGTGTAAATATTTTTAAGTAGGGAAGAGATATACCCAGTCAACAAATCTTTGTTGAGCTGACTTGATTTATTTCATTAAATCTGAGAAATAAACTTGAGAACCACAAATTGGAGGAAGTTTTCAGATGAGCTTAAGAGAGGAAGGAGAATGAAACGTGTATAACCAGAATACTAGGAAAAAGAACTTTTTAAGTGGGTGAGGGGGTGTAAGTAAATCACAACAGTTATGTATAAAATGAAAAATCTGAAAAATCCAAAGGTCCAAAACATAGAGTAATAAATGCAAAAATAAATAGTTCAAACATATAAACATTTTTAATATAATTATTCAGTTATATTTTAATGAGTGGGAAATTATATGTTGTGTTACATATACCATACAATGTGATTCAAATATTTCCTATGCATGTAAACTAAAACATGCATAGGAAAAAAGAATAAAAATATATCAGCATGTTATCAGTGGTTATTTCTGGGAATTGAATTACAGATGGGTTTTTTTCCTTTATTTTTCTTTATTTTCCAATTTTTCTATACAGTACATATGTTACTTTTGACAATTGGGGGGAAAGGAAGGTTAGGGGTTTTTTCTCCTTTTTAACCTCTTTTTACCCCAGTAGTATTATAGTATTTGTAAAATGGCCCCCTCCCTTTAAAATCTCTTCATAAATTTCCTGGCTCCTTACTATTTAGTGGACAAATTCTAGAGAAAGGATGAGCTCTACCAAGGCTAGCATTAAAATGGTTGTCTCTGAGTCAGAGACTTTTCATCTCTGCCATTCACTTACTAACCTTTACTATACCTGTAATTTTCTTTTAATGGATGACCATAATTATATTACAGTGAAAGGTTAACATCTATAATGTTTTCCTTGAAGTAGACTCAATAAACATGCCTTTGTTTTATCATATTTGACATACTTAATAAAATAAGCTGAAATAGAAGCCCAGTGTATCCTACCTGTGACAACTAAAAATAAATATATTTTCCTCCATTGTTTTCAGGTGCTTAGCAAACTTTACCAATAGTCTTTCATTGCTTTGGATTAATTTATAGATAGGAACTAATACCAATAATAGGAATTACAGGCTAATATAAATGTTTTTAAACACATCTAAACCGTGAAACAAGCGTGGGTTTCTTCTGTTTTTTTCAGACCTCAGGAGAAAGAGGTTTCTTCTCAATGGAAAAATTGTTCACCTTATCCTAGAGTAAAGAAATGAGTGAACAAACAAGTAAGTTTTTACTTTGGGGAAATGCTTTTTAATTCCAACCCCGTTTTCATCTAAAATTGATTTATTTTTCTTAACAGTGCTTCATTTGGTAGAGCAGAATATAAAAGCCATACCCATGTGATTCAAGTAACTGGAGAAACCTCGGTCTTCTAGACCCTCATTACTCAAGAGTATAGTGTCTGAACGTGCAGAATCAGCATCACCAGGGAGCTGGTTAGAAATGCAAAATCTCAAATCCCAGTCCAGATCGACTGTATCAGAAACTGCTTTTTGATAAGATACCTATGTGATTTGTAGTCACATTAAAGCCTGAGAAGTGCTGGGCTGGACAACTTTACTATTATTATTTTGTTGTTGTTACATGCCACAGAATAAGAAGAAACTGATCAAAGTAAATGACTCAATCTTGTTAGTATGATGAAAGCAGGAGAGGCTTCCTAGTCTCTAACCAAAAACTGTTTTAGAATTTAGAACTACAATTAGATGATCATGATTCTAAATTTAAATTTTAAATGACATGTATTAAATGTTGGAGGAGTTACAACTACAATGATCGTGTTGTTCATGAGAAAAAGGAAAAAAAGCACAAGTGAATAGGAAAAAGATGACAGTGAGGATTGCCCAAATTATCTACCTAAAGTACACTTTATAGGAGAGGTTTCTGGAAATATTGTATTCCAAGGAAAACCTCTCTTTGAAAGCATCAGTGTGTATATAAGATATGCACAACTTTTCATGACTCACACACTAAAGTCAATGGGTTCCCTTGCTTTTCCTTCTATTGTTTACATTGTTTCATTTAGCATTTCAAAGAGGGAAAACCATATACTTTTGTGGAGGGGGAGACGTGTGGGGTAGCAGCAAGAAGGTTCCGAACATACAGGAGGCATTCAACATGTATGTATTTCCTGTTTCATCATTCGCGCGGTCATTCTTGTGACTGATAGTGATTGAGCACCTACCGTGCCAGGTACCGTGCTAAGTGCCAGACAAACAGTGGTGAGTGAAAGAGACATGGGTCCTGCCTTCATTGGGTTTCTGACAGTGTTTGAATTAATACCGACCAACTTTTGAGAGTTATCTGTGGGTTTTGTTCATCTGTGCTATTGCTGTCTTGCATCTAACTTTCCTAATTGATAATGAGAAATATCTAATTCTCAGTTATCAGCTAATTCTTATGGATTCATCAGTTGTGATTTGTATAGCAGATAGTAGCAGTTTAAATGCCAAAATGCAGCCGGTAACTTACAGAGATGAAGCTAAAACATACAACAATGTCAGTTACATACGATAACATGACCACTGTAAGGGCTTGATGCAGGCTGGAAATAGAGGGCTGAGGGCCGCTAGGAAGGTAGTGTGGATGAGTATCAATGAGCGGGAGCTGCGAATAAGTTTCTCCTAAACCGTATGGGTGAAAGTAATGTAATTATGGTCAAAATCAAACATGTATTTTTTATTATATGCCCCCAATTGATAAATCGGGTAATCTGTTGCACTTCTGTGTCTTCAAATGAAGGTAATTTGTTCTTCAAACCAGTCTTACAGCATTTAGAAAATCATCTCTAAAATAAATTGCTTTGTGAGTTTTCTTGGAATGATGGATTTGCCCACTAGAGCTGGGACCTGACAAATTGGGTGGAAAGCTGAAATAAACAGCCCCCACTGGGCAAGTGTCCCAGACTTGGGTGGAACAACCATTACTTCAGGTCACATCTCTGTGGATTTTGCATGTAGTTGACTCCCAGGTTCCTAACCCTGAATTCCCATGGCCCTGGCATTTGTGCCTGTTTAACCACTACTATTCCACCCTTGTTTTCTGATGAGCAAATTCTCTGCCATGATGGCCCAAAGGTTGAAGCATAGTCTTGGAGTCAGATGGAAACAGGTCTGTAGTTCTGGCCTCACTACCCCCTAGACATAGTATCTTGGGTAATGTAATGTCTCCAAGCCTCAGTTTTCTCACGTGAAAAATGAAGATTGAAACTCTCATCTCATGTGACCCTGTGGATTACATAACTATAAAAGACTGCCATGCCTGGCACATGATAAATGGTGGCTACTACTTTATTATTATTAAACCCAGGTCTCTATTACTGGTTCCTTTTCGCTACACGAATCCCCTTAAGTAACAAGTTTTTTGTTTGTTTATTTTTTCACCTTGTGTCCCAGTCTTTAGTGGCTGTATTTTCCTCCTACTGAATCCATATTCTGGAGGCTTCCTCCCTGGGGACCCCCCTCTTTTGTGGCACTTGGGCTGAGCCCTCACACCATTCCAGATTCACCAGACAGCCCAGTTCCTGTGTACCGTTGGCTCACAGAGTTGGTGGTGCCTCATGACTTCTACTCACTAGCTGAACGACTTGGGTAAATTATTCAAACCTTTTTGTGCCTCAGTTTCCTCATCTGTGAAATGAACTGTACTTGTTTCATGTGATTGTTGTAAAGATTTAATATATAATTATATATGAAGAATCTAGAATATGAAGTGCTATATAGCATTTGCCAGTATGACTCATATCTTGGTTAAGAGGACCCAAGCTTGGCACTTACCCACTTCTTTCCTCTCAGCCCAGGGTTCCCTCCCAATTGTAGAGCTGTTTTCAGGACTTATAGACCCAGTTGTATGTCCGTACACTACCTGGACACTGCTTGTGCTTCCATGTCAGAACCCCTGCCTTCTCCACATCCTGCCACAAATATCGCTGGCAGACATCGGCTGGGACAGTGAGGAATGAGTAATAGCTTTTCCCCAAACATAATGTCTGTGAGGAACAGTCTACTGGGGCCAGCCTTGGTGGCCTCCTACCTAAAATAGGGTAAAACTAATGGAACCTAGCAAAGCAGTTGCCTTATTCTTCCTGAATTCCCTCATCTCCCTTTCCTCATTTCCACTAGTAAACGCAGATCATCTGTCTAGAAGAAAGGGCAGTGCAAGATTCCTTCCCACTGAGCCCGTGTGCTGGAAGGTCTTCTGTGGATAAAAAGGAAAGGAAAGAGTCAGGAGTATAACTCAAGAGTGTGAACTTCTATTGTATCCGTGGAGTAAATTGGTTACTTAAACTATTACTATTTAAGTTCCACAATGAGGCAATGTAGCCAAACTACAAGTAACCTGAGAGAAGCAAATCAAAAGAAGATTGGCTTTCGACTGAGAGCTGTAAATAAAGCATATACCACTGGTTTATAAACCGCTCAGTATCCTCCATGCTTGGGGTGGAAGTCAAGGGTATCCAGGTCTTACTTCGTAGCCCTCCGTGCCTCGAATAGTACTTGGCTTGTGGCAGTAAACTGTTTCTGCTCGGCAGTCCTGGCTTCAAGCCTCCCACAGGGAGATTCCTTTCAATGCTCCAAATCCCTTCCAGGGCCACTGTCAATATTTTCAAAAGCAAGGTAATGATTATTAGCTCCTTCTCTTTTCAGCACAAAATGTTCGTAAAGTATTTACTTGGTGACTATTTTCTTTAGCCATTTGGGTGGAGGTTTATTTGGTTTGATTGATTAAACCACCCAAGGTCTTTAGCCTTTGTTTAATCTGTAATTCTAGCTCATTCATTGAATTATTCCCTATGCAATTTAACCTCTACAGTGTTATTAATTTAACCTGCCCCTAAAGAAATAGATGAAAAGTCAATTAAGAAATACAAATAGCAAGATGCAGAGAAATCCGGAATAAATAATCATTAATATATGGACTTCATCAGCAATCTTATCTGATTCTGCTTTAACTCCTGGAAGCACAAATATTTCCAAAGATAACATAACCCAAAGTTACCAGAGTAATAGATCCAATAATCTTCTAAACTAGAGGTTGTTTAATCTCCCCCTTGAAAGAAACAGTAAACTCACTGGAAAACAGCATAACAAAATATTTGTAACGTGATGTCTATGCACTGTACGAGGCAAATTATAGTCCTAAGCCCTGATACCGTCAATAAGTATTGGTTTAGTAATGATTTGCACTGGGCTTTTCTCCATATCCTAAAATCACATGTTTAGATTCTGGGAATCAGTTAACAAGCATTTAGTGAAAATCTACTGTGTAGAAAACTGTGACCCAAGTCAAACAAAGAAGTGAATTCAGGTAAAGGCCATAAGTCGTTTTTCCCATTTCTGAAGCTGCAAATGTCAATGCCCAATATTCTCCACAGATCCAAGTCTGCCCACTGGCATACACACTGACATGATCCCTCCCTAAAGGAGTCTGTACCATGCAATGGGTAGGGGCACAGCCTTTGAGTTCAGAGGAGATCTGGGTTTCAGTCTCTGCTCTACCACCTACCAATTCTATGACTTTGGGCAAGTTATTTAATCCACGATGTCTCAGTTCCCTCATGGGGATGACAATAATATCTACCTTGAAGGATTATTATAGCATTTGGATGAAATGAAATGCTTTGTACTCAATAAATTGTAGCTTTTTTTTTTTTTTACAGGAACGATGATTTTCCTGTACAAGCATGGACTCAGATTCTATTTCCAGAGGCACAGTCACTGAGCTGACTCACCAGGCTGAATGTCAGTCCTTTCCCCTCCTTCCTGGCTCCTGAACGGAGCGGCTGGAGCTATCTGTCAAGATTCGTTTCCTCCCTCTTCTTCAAAGACCTTCAAGGAAGACTCCAAGACTCCTTCTGCCAAGACCTTACAAAGTTCAAGCTTTTCCTTATATCTAACACAAATCTTCCCTTACTGATCAAGCCAGTTTCCTTTCCTGCCCCGTCTAGAGATAGAAAAGGGTAACAAACTCTCAGATGTAGGAGTCCACGAACACTTATTCAATACCCCCCGTGACACCCTGTGAGAAACCAAGAAAATAGATTTAGCTTTGTTCCGCATTGTGGGAAGGTCTGGTAAATGGAAAATGGTTAAAAATCCAGAGGTAGAACTCTGTAGAAAACCCACATCAAATTAAATAGAATTGTACCAGTCTAATCCAGTTGGCTCTTTCAGATGCAATCACATTTATGGCTTAATAGAGAAAATACCTGAAATGTAAATGCATATGCCTAGAAAGGCATGGGGAAAAAACCCTCAAAGCAAAATGTTGTTACACGTAAGTGTTTACTGTACTTGGGGATAGAGGGTGCTGGGAAAAGTAGCATGACTTTGATTTGATAGGATATTTGGATGAAGACATTACGGAAAGTGATATATTCAACTGGAGGAAAAGAGGACCAAAAAGAAGTGTGAATATCCTTTGAAGCAGAGGCTTCTTTAAAGGGAAATTCAACTCTCTCAGCTCTGGGCAAATGCTTTCCAGGAGGAGGAAGGAAGACAAAGGGGGTGTGTGCAGAACGGGGCCAGAGAGACCTCAATGTTGGCGGCCTAACCTGAAAAGGAAAAGGGCAGTAGGCATAAGAGAGACGCTAAGAGAAAGGAATCAAATCCTTTCTTGAAGCTCGGAATCTTAGAGATTCTTCTTCTCTCTCCTCTTCTCATGCCCCCAAACCTCTTCTACTCAAACACCTTTTTAGGTGTGTCTTTATCCTGAATTTTAAAGTTACAAAACCAAGTCTTTACGCTGAAAATTTTAGCCAATGGGATCTGACCTGGTCTATCAGAAGGTCGCCCTTTAAAAATATTTTTGTTTCCCCAGCTGTCTCAGGACTGTGAATAAGGAACATGGGAGCTTGAAAAGCCAGTTTAAAAACATATTGTCTATGCTTCCTTTGTATAAACATGGTCAGAGGAAGAAAATTTTAAGTAATTAAAATTTATGTTTGGTGACTTCTAAGCTCAGTAATTATCTTTTTTTGGGGAATTATCTTGACATGTCTTTGGTGTCTAGTAAGTTCCTTGTATATTGTAGGTACAAAAACATTTTTGTTGAATGAATTAATGAATAGCAAAAATATCGACACTTGCTGGGAAATGTTTCACATTTCTTAAATTTGTACTAAACATAATAAACAAACCAGACTCAACGTTAAGTGTGCGTGCATTCAGGCACATGTAGACACAAATGAATGCATCTGAGAGTACACTCTTGAAATTCATTGGGAAAGGAAATGTATAAGAGAACACTAGTGAGCTTCATTAATCAAATTTTTCATGACTACTATAAACTCTGCAGGTTTTAGCCTGAAAAATACAAAAGCCCTTGCAATTTGAAAACATTAAAGTAGTACATTACTGTATTTCCACATGGTCCTCTATAGAAAATTTTCAAAATGTAGAAATAGCTTTAAAATAAATGGCAAAATGAATGCAATAGTCCCATAATGCATGTCTCATAAACCTACCTCTTCTTTTTAAAAAAGTTGTAAGGAGGGGGAAATCTTCAGGGAACCACTAAGAATGTATGAATTGTGAGGTTAGGTAAATTCTTACTTATCCAGAAGGCTCCACAGGTGGCCCAGGTTCCATTTACACCTGGCAGCAGATCTGATCAGAAAATTGCATTTTTTCCTTTCATCATTTCAGGATGATGAGACCCTGTAGATCCAGGCCCCTGTGCTTGGGGCAGGAATGTGTAAAGCCTCTAAAACCTCTTCTACCTCAAGTTTGAACTTAAACCTGGAGAAGATCGTGACAACTTTGTTGTTACTGAAGAGAATACTATTTGCTACCAGTACAGTTTCAAATCTTTTCTCCTCTAAGAAAACATAATCTTATATTTTAAAGTATATCCCAATGGCTAAGAGCAAAGACATCAGCTTCTGATGAGCCTACATTCAAGTATCAGTTATTCCACTGTGTGACAACAGGCAAGTCATTGTACCTCCCCCAAGCCTCAGCTTCCAGAGCTGCAAAATGGGAATAATAATGACAGGGACAGAGTACAGGGACAAAGTAGGTGATTAAATAGTTAATCCCACGAAGGGATCATAAGTAAAAAAAAAATGTATGGGAGACCCCTCTAAGTTAAACGATCACGCAAGAAAGCAGGCTTGCTTAACAACAAAACCAAGTGGGCTTGCTTAGCTCCAAAACCATGCAACAGAAGCATTAGACGTGTCCCCAAACAATAAAACAGTGGTGGAATGAGACCCACATCCTGTCCAGTGAGGTCAGTAAGTTAATGATTCCTAGGACATGCTTCTCTGTGCACATTAAAGACAAAAATACAAGGAAAAGGTGACATTAAACTGAAACCTGAGATGATTTACCATATTTTAGTCTATGTAACTGCCTTTTCACTTATTTCCATTGCTGCACGATAGTCCCTGTTTGACCTTGTAGGGACAAGAAAACTCCTGCCCAATGTGGAGGAGGAACTGACGATGGAAGCTTGACGTCTACCCTCCCCACTTTTCCTTTGATTATAAAACTGCAGCCCACTAAGTTCTTGGCGTGCCACCCCTCTTGCCCACCCACTTGTAAATCTCACAAGTGTCCTATACTAATAAACTCTTTCCTTGCCTGTCACTCTGTCTCTCACTGAATTCTTTCTGCACGGAGACAGAAGCTCTACCAAGCTCTATGCTCTACTAAGTCCCAAAACGCATTCTGCAGTTTCAATAAGAGCACGGGGTTGTTGCAAAGATTGAAAGAGGTAATTTGTAAAAACTTTCACGTCCAGGAGACACACTGTGAATGATGGCCAATATAATAAGTGAATAAATACAATTATTAATGATTACCTCCATCATCATCATCATCATCATCATTAGAGAGACTCCCTTCACCCACCTACCCCTCCCCTTCTCACTGAACCCATATAGCTCTACGTCAGGAGGCTGGAAGGACTCAAAAACCCAGAGAAGGGAAGGCTTAGAGGCCTGGCAGTCCATTTTTCTTGTTGTCACTGATGCCATTCCCCAGACCCAAGTATGGGGTGCACAGTAACAATCACCTGGGACATGTTGGCCATTGCAAGGTCTTCACAGCTCTTATTAACTGTTGTCATACACGACCACAAGAACAGGTGGGATAGCTCAGTCACCTGAGGGTCCCTCACTGAACGGCTTTTTCCTGAGTCCCTTCTTGCTACCCAAATAACAATATTCTAAAATAAATGTAATGTTCACTGTTAAACATCCTTAAAACCTAACTTCTGGATCTTTTGACATTTGCTTGATATTGTTCAACCCAAAGAGAAGAAACTTTTGACCTTTTACCAATTTCATTCAACCAAAGGAGAAGAAGAAGGACAGAAATAACTTAAGTCCACTGCTCTGGGGTACTTCCATTATTGTCATCATTAGCTCCATCGGAAGTAAAACATGCTATCTTTTAAGTTGCTTAACTTCAGAACAAATGCCCCTCAATAGACGGTATGATTGAAACCAGGAGATTGAATTTGATCTTCAAGATCACTGCATTTGACCTTCCAGAAAAAGGTCATTTGCAATCCGGAAAAGAACAATTTCCCTGCACTCATGGAAGCAAAAGCCTATTTGGGATGGGTGAAGGAGCAAACGATAAGTAAAGAAGTGAAGACAATGAATGGGTCAAGCATACTTCCTCCTAACATCTGGGAATAGCTACTATATAAGTCATACAAGCCCCTCAGAGTTTTATGCAGAATTATGGGTGTATGTGACAAGGTGTGTTTTCCAGCAAGAGAGGCCATAGCTTTCTTCTGATATTTAAAAGAGTGTGTCACTGAAAACCTCCTTCTAGAAGGTCCAGTGGCTGACCCGAGCTGCCAGCCCTCTGGGCTAGGCTGGAAGAGTGTGACACTCTCCTTGGGTGCTAGTTTCCTATTCTGGCCAAGGACGTGGGGATTCCAGCCATTAAAATAAGGAGAAGAAGAAAATGAAAAGAAAAAATATAGTAGGTTTTTGTTTTTCATCAATAGAGCCCTTTAAGACTTAACCTTACAGAATCAATCCTCAGCTTTGAAAGATTTTTCTAGGCTAAAATAGCACCTCCGTGCGACCTCTGGTGGATGTTATTAAAAATGCAGCCCCCCATGCCCCCCCAAGCAGTCTCCATTTTATATGAAGAATATTTGAAAACACTGCTTAGAAAAATGAATTTTTATAAGCCGAATGATTTTTCCTAATCATTTAGACAGTCTCATAATCAAACGTATCCATTAAGAATAATACAACGTCCAACTAGTGTATAAATCAGCTTTTACGTAATCTCTGAAAACAATGAAGGTGACCCAAAATATAATAGTATTAACTTAAATATTTTTTTTAATCACCAGGGAAGTAGTATATGTAGATTGTGGTTCAGAGAAGTAATTTAGTAGGTCATTTTGCATCCATCCATAAAGTTCAAACTCTAAGACTTTAAACTTTCCTTCAAGACACTATATGATCATATGTATATGTATAACTGATTCACTTTGTTATAAAGCAGAAACTAACACACCATTGTAAAGCAATTATACTCTAATAAAGATGTAAAAAAAAAAAAAAAGGCACTATATGAACAGAATGAGCCGTTTTGTTGGTCTCTCTTTCTGTGAGAATGGGTGACACAAGAAGCCCTAAAAGGTGTTTCTATGCTGGTTTTAAAACATAAAGTGGGAAAACATTTTTAAAAAAAGAAAAAAAAGACTTATTATAAAGCTATAGTAACAAAGACAATGTGGCACTGGTATTGAGATCAATAAATAGATCAAGAAGACCAAATGAAGAGTGAAGAAATACGAAAAAAAAAAAGTGGGAAAATACACCATGGAGTCTGAAAAGATGTACCTCTGGGCCTGCAGCATCTTCTCTAAGGAATCCTTAGTGAATTGGGGTCCCACCAGACTGTCGTACAACAGTCCTCCTCAGAAAATGTCAACTTCTCTGAGTATAGGAGTTGTGCCTTACAGTTCTTTTATATCTTCAAGCAACTGCTGGTACCCAAGAGGGTTGCAGTAAAAACCTGATGGTTTGAAAAGCACGAAATATGCACCTAGCAATCAGAGAAGGAACTATGAAAATGAGGGGCTCCAGCAGTTTCAAAATAACATCTATGAGGGATTCTTGAGAGCACATCTTTTTTCAAATGAACCATCAGTGCAAGCTATCAATGCCCAGGCCATGTAACTCATATACCATGTGTATGTGGGATAAAATCCTTGGCTGCTTTGACCAATTTAAATGACTTAGATTCTTCTGGGTCAGTGATTTGCAAAGTGGCGTCCCTGGACCAGCATCTTCAACGTCTCCCGGGAACCTGATAGAAATGCAAATTCTTGGACCCCACCCCAGACCTTTTTTTTTTCCTTTTAAAAATTTATTTATTTATGTTTGGCTGCATTGGGTCTTTGCTGCTGCGCGCAGGTGAGAGGGGGCTACTCTTCATTGTGGTGCGCAGTCTTCCCATGGCGGTGGCTTCTCTTGTTGTGGAGCACGGGCTCTAGGCGTGTGGGCTTCAGTAGTTGTGGCACGCGGGCTCAGTAGTTGTGGCTCATGGGCTCTAGAGCGCAGGCTCAGTAGTTGTGGCGCACGGGCTTTGTTGCTCCGTGGTATGTGGGATCTTCCTGGACCAGGGATCGAACCCGTGTCCCCTGCATTGGCAAGTGGACTCTCAACCACTGCACCACCAGGGAAGTCCCTCATCATCTTTTAAAGAATAAACCTGAATTGTAGTAGTGAGCCACTAATAGACATAGGACTTTTTCCTGTCCTCTAAACCTGCCCCCACAAGAGAACACTGCTATAGTTGAGGATGGATTATTTGTTCTGAGTACTTTAGCTACATTTCTTCTGCTCACCCCGGGGAGCGCTGCATCATTTGAGCCCTTCCATCTCTCTAATCTGTCCTGTCAGCTTCTCTCTCTTGCTCTCTGAGCTCCAGCCACATGGCCCTGCTGTCCATCCCCACATGGAAGCCTTTGAACATTCTATTTTCTCTGCCTGAACTGCCTTTCTCCTAATTTTTTTTCCCCGGGTAACTTCTACCTGAATTTCAGGTCTCTGCTGAAATGTCAGTTCTTTAAGGAAACCTTCCTTGGCTCCACAGTCTTGAAATGCCCCTGGTTACTTTTTCTCATAGTACTCTCCTCTTTTCTTTCATTTGATTTATTGTAATGTGTGTGCAGCCTCATTTCCTTTATATCCAATTATTTGTGTAACTATTAGTTTACCATATGTCTCCCTTACCAGGCCATAAATCCCATAAGAGCAGGGATGTTGTCTGTTCAGTTCATTAGAGTCCTAGAACAGAGTTTGACATAATAATGGATGCTCAACAAATGTGTGTTCAAGTGGAACTAAGCATTGTTCAATTAGTGAAAGATTCCTCTATAGGCATGTCTGCGCACGCAGCCTTGTGAACAACAGGGAACCAGTATTTCTAGTCCTAGTGCCCAAAAGCCCAATCCAAGGAGCCATGGAAAACCTAACTAACCAACACAAAGATATGGCAGGTGTCATCTTTTCCTGACTAACCGATAGGGAACACAAGTAAATAAATTTGACTTGTGTGCAGACTGACCCAAATAGGGCAAAAGACCTGCTGCGTATGGCTGTGGGGCTGGTTCATTCCTGGTCATGAGACCCAAACACACCCTCAGACATGAACAAGGCAGAGTTAGATACTTTCTGCATCTTGTTTCCCCTAAATTAGGAGTCATATGAATAAGAGATGAGTGAGGGTCAGAATTACTCTAGCTTAACTTTGGTTTACACTTTTTTGGTTAAATCATGATCTTCAGGCAGAAAAAGGGTTTAAGAAATGTGGCTAAGAAAGAGCTGTAATAGTTCGGAAGAGAGGAAGAGATCACTTGCTCTAAGTTCAAGTCTCTTGACAAATTTCAGCCCTTCTGTTATGAGAATTTACAGAGGAAATCACCAAAGGTTTTGAGGAACTACGAAAAATGAGACAGTAGTAAAGAGCTAGTATAGGCAGATATTCCCTGCTCCAAGAAAGACAGAAAGAAAGAAAGAAAGCAAACAAGCTGGCTAATAACAATTGCTACAATTTATCGAATGCTACCATGCCCTAGGCATCTTACATATATTATCTCTCTTCCTGACCATCAACCTATGGGCAGGTATAATTATTCCTATTTTATAAATGAAAAAGTAACTTCCAGAAATCATAAAAATTAAAAGCATGCCTACCTAACTCTCTCAAATCAAGTTACTAAACTAGACAGATTAGGGAGACGCTGTAGCCACAGTGTAGTATGTGCCTTTCAGCAAGGCATTTGATAAAGTGCATTTCTCTTTGGCAGAGAGTGCCCATGCCAAAGATGCTGACTGACAGATCAGGGACTTCTAGAGACTCTACTTGGAACTGTTGGGATCACCATTTAATTTGTTAATTTGAATATAGGAACTTTCAGCAAACTCACCAAATGTGAGAATGGCACAAAGCTGGTGAATGGTTTATGTGCTGAATGGCAAACTCAGGCCTCAAAGGGCCTTCTACACCTAGAATGAAGTGCTGAAATTCATAGGACGGTATTGTTGGGGATACATATAACGACCTGTATTTAGGACCAAACAAAGGAATTGCGTAAGCATAGGATAGAAAAGGCCTGGGTCAAATGTTTTCAGTTGGACAGGGGTGGAAAGAGAAACTAAGGATGTCACAGACTGCGTTTGTTATGTGTGTTAATAATATAATGTGTCTGTCTAAACAGCTCATGTAATTTTAGATCCACCTAATAGAAGTATAATTTTCAGATCAAGGGAGGTTATAGTCCCACCACATACACTAACCTGATTGTACTGGATTCAGTGATTTAATAAAATGGAGAATACTGGGATAGTTCAGCCAGTGTGGTGAAAGCACTACAAATTATTTTAAAGGTAACACTGAAAAAAGAAAAAAAGAAAGGTAACACGGAGTCTATGAAAGATTTGGTGGGTGCTCAAATAGCCACCACTATATAATTCAAAAATGTTTCAGTGGGAAAGCACCACATTTTATCTGTATATTTGGGAGCAGATGTGTGATTAGGGAGTAGAAGCTGTACAGAGACTGGGGACCTTTCCAAAAACTAGAGATTGAAGACCTTTCAAAAAAAAAATTGAAAATTGAATGGATACTTTGTGCAGGTGTAAATATTCTGTCTCTATTTCAGCTGAGGCCAGGAACTCTTTATATGCCCCCCACCCTGACTTTGTGAGCTCCTGAAAGTCTGGACACCTGCCTTAATTCATTACTCATTTCCCAGCAACCAGCCCAATGCCTGACATGCAAAAAGGACTCCACAGCTGTCAAATTGGTGAGTGAATGGTTAAGTCCACCTTTTACTCCTACAGTCACAGGGAATACAGAACCTTTCAATTATAGCACCTTTAACAGGAAAATTCCCAGGTAGATAGAATTTTAAGTCGGCGTAAGGAATTACTTAAGTATACTGAATACTTATATATAGTGAATTTAGCTGCTCTAGACAAGGTCTCTGCGTGCTGTTGACAATAACAGGAATGAGGTATCATAATCAGGCACATTGTGGCTGATGCTGAGGGAAGAGGTCCTTTTACCAGGTGGCAGCAGTTCTGTGGCTCCTCGGGGGGTCTCCGTCTCCCAGGAGGAGGGTGCGTGGTCGCTCGAGGAGCGGAAGCTGAGCGGCTTCAGAACAACCCTCGCTCCTCTGTTGTCCTGGCACAGAGGGAGCCACGGTGCTCTAGAGAGGCAATCAAGGAGGTGCTGCAAAAGGGCTGGGAACGCTTGCCTTCCTCTTTGGCCTATTATTTTCATCTTCATCATTCCTTACCACCTACTGAAGACATGTGGGGCACAAAGGGCTGTGAAACATCTGTAAATTTATGGAAGAGCACTTGGACCTAGCGTGGACTCAACCATGTTGGCTGTGACTGTGAACCAGAACTGCTTTTACTTATTTGAATGTTGTTTGTGTGTTTGGCAGGGCAGGGAGGAGACAACAGCAGTGTGTTAAAACGTGGCCCATAATTGTGAGATTCTAAAAGGATCAGGTAATCATAATTTATGAACTGATAATCCAAGAGATGGGGGTTTAAGTGTTTGAAGGATTTCTCCAGCACTGAGTGACGGTAGGCAAGTCACTTCCTTTCCTCTAGTGTAGACCTCAGTTTCCTGGTCTGTAAAATGAAGGAATTGAGAAAAATGATCTGCATATTTCCGTGTGTGTATATAATTTATGTATTTAAAATATAAACTTCATAGTTTTATTATGTGTAAAATTTAAATTTATATATTACATTTTACACATTTTTATAATTTAAACATATTTTTAAATATATTTAAAACTTAAATATATATTTTACACATTTTTATAATTAAGATATATTTTATAATTTAATATTTTTAATATCATATGTATGTATATATACACACACACAATTTTTTTCAATACCTTCCAGGCCAATGCCACTACCAATTAAGTTGGAGGATACCTGGACTCAGGTAGCCTTTTATGAAGGAGGGCTTGGGGAAATGGACCAGATGCCTTTGGCCACAAAACCATCACCCCTGCCTTTGCCAAAACAGCAGCTCCGCCCCCTCCCTCCAAAACCTTTGCGGCTTCAGCTAGTCTTAGTGCGGTTTCCCCCAGTTCACCTTTCACCGCTTCTCCTCGCTCACGTACCTCCCGCGGGGTCCGAGGCTGAAAGAGAACTCACACTGCTTCCGGGACTCCTGGGGGCCGCGGCCTCCGGTCTCCCCGCGCGCCCCGCATCCCAAGCCTGCGGGCGGCAGAGGCTGCTCGCCGTCGCGGCCCGCCTCGGGCATCGCCACCGCGGTCACCGCCTCCTCCCCCCTCATGCCGCGGGAGTCTTCTTCGCGGCGCGCGGCCGGCTGGCCTTCTCTGCTCCGCCGCAGGCTGCTGGAGAACGCGAGGCGTCTCCGGTTGCCATGGTGACTGTGGATCCTCCCCGCCCCCAGCCGCTCCCAGTGGGCTTGTGCAGGTGACCCGCGCGCCCAGGAAGGCGCTGGAGTTGGGGAGCTGCAACTACTTACTGACCAAAGCAAAGGATTTTCTTTCCATTTATCTCTCGTTTGTTTGTGACACCAGTTTCGCAAGAGGGGGTTTACTATTCCTTGGTAGGGAAACTGAGATTAAGAAAAGCAGAGGATATTGTCCGAGGTTACACAACTAGAAGTGCCACAGCCGGAATCCGAATTCCGAAAAGTTTGGCCCCAAAGGCTAAAGAATAAATCACCACCTGGAACAAGTAGGGGCGGGAGGAGGGACTGGACAGTGAGTTCAAGGAAAGGTCTCTGGTTTCACGCAGTGCTTTGCTTGTCGTGTCCCGCTCCCTGCTACACTCACATGATCGAATAAATCAATGTTGAGGATTCCCAACTTTTGGATTGTAAGTTGTTGCTGTTGTTATTATTAATAAACAACTCCTGTAGTGTCTAAGCACTTTTGTATTCACAATCTATTTGAATCCATATAAAAACTAATTTTACACATGAGAAAATCAAACTCAGAAAAGTTTAATTTGAATAGCAAATGGGAAAATCTAGGGCTTTATTTGGAGCAAGAGGTTGCTTTTGTTTTGTTTTTGCAGTCTCTTTTTTTGTATAACACTTTGGCCTTATACCATGGATGCAATATCTTATCTGTCTAAGGATATTAATGATACACTTCATTTCCAATGTTACTTTCTTCTTGTATAATTGTTGCTTCCCCCAAGTTACCAGTTCTGGTTTCACCTACCTTCAGGTGATCTTTGACTGTCTTGCCCTATCTCGTAGTGGACATATGACTCTGTGCACACAGGTGGGCTTATCAACTGGGGGTTTCACTGATGGGTGATCTGTCTCGGCTGTTCAGTTGGGGAAGCCCTCATGTTGGTATTTTAAGGTCTTATCTCGTGAACTGCTCTGATTCTCCATGGAATGACTCCTCCGGTCTCCCTGCTGGAGGGAATCAGTCTGGTACCAGCACCCTGGGAAGTGAGGGGGAGAGGAGAACTGAAGGCTTAATATGTAGAATGTAAGTATTCATGAAATTCCTGTTTCAGTATGGTGGTTCTGCCTTCAACTGTGCTTTGTACGTTCCATCCAGAGAGCCTGTTTGACTTCCTTCAGTGAATTACCTCCAATCTTCTGCTGGAGTGGAGGGGGGGGGGGTCATCCATCTAGCTGCTAAGAATGGGGGATCTGGAGGTATAACTGCTTTATTTTTATTGTGATAAAATGTACATAAAATTTACTCTTTTAACCATTTTTAAGTATACAATTCAGTGACATTAAGTACATTCATAGTGTTGTACAGCCATCACCACTATCCATTTCCAGAATTTTTTCATTATTCCAAACAGAAATTGTACCCATTAAACAATAATTCTCAATTTCCCCCTCTCTCTGCCCTCTGGTAACCTCTGTTCTATCTTCTGTCTCTGTGAATTTGACTACTTTAGTACTTAATATAAGTGGAATCATACAATCTTTTCCTTTTGTGTCTGGGTTATTTCATTTAGCATAATGTTTTTAAAGTTCATCCATGTTGTAGCATGAATCAGAATTGCATTCCTTTTTTAAGATTGAATAATATTCCATTGTATGTACATACAGCATTGTGTATATCTGTTCATCTGTTGATGGACGTTTGGGTTGTTTCCACCTTTAGGCAGTTGCAAGTAATGCTGCAATGAACACTGGTGTACAAGTATCAGTTTTGAGTTCCTGCTTTCAGTTCTTTTGAGTATATACCTAGAAATGGAATTACTAGATCATATGGTAGTTCTGTGTTTAATTTTGTGGGGAACCATTAAACTTTTTCAAGTGGCTGCACCACTTTACATTCCCACCAGCAATGCACAAAGGTTCCAATTTCTCTATATCCTTGTCAACACTTGTTACTTTCCTTTTTAAAAATATAACAGCTAACTATCCTAATGAATGTGAAGTGGTATCTCTTCGTGATTTTGCTTTGCATTTTCCTACTGACTAGTGATTTGAGTATCTTTTCATGTGTTTACGGGTTGTTTGTATATCTTCTTTGGAGAAATGTTTATTCAAGTATTTTATCCATTTTTGAATTGGGTTTTTTGTTGAGTTTTAAGAGTTCTTTGTATATTCTGGATATTAATCCCTTATCAGATATATGATTTATAAATATTTGCTCCCATTTAATGAGTTGCCTTTTCACTTTGTTGATAGTGTCCTTTGATTTTAAAAAAGTTTTAATTTTGATGTAGTCCCATTTATCTATATTTTTCCTTTAATGAGGTGTTTTTTGTGACATATCCAAGAAATCATTGCCAAATCTAATATCATGAAGATTTTTTCCATTTGTTTTCTTCTAAAAGTTTTATAGTTTTAACTCTTACATTTAAGTATTTGATCATTTTAATTTTTGTATTAACATTATAGTGTGATGTAGGAGTCCAACTTCATTCTTTTGCACGTGGATACCCAGTTTTCCCAGAACCATTTATTGAAAAAGGCTATTTTTTCCTCCATTGAATTTTCTTGACACTATTGTCAAAAGTATTCAGTGCTCCATAAATGTGACGGTTTATTTCTGGATTCAAAATTCTGTTCCATTGATATATATGTTTATCCTTATGCCAGTACCACAAAACGTACTAGCTTTCTAGTACGTTTTGAAATAAAAAAGTGTGAGTTCTCCAACTTTGTTTTTTTTTTTTCGAGATTGTTTGGCGCTTCTGGCTTCTTTGCATTTCCATATGAATTTTAGGATCAGCTTGTCAATTTTTGTGAAGAAGCTAGCTGGAATTTTGATAGAATTGCATTGAATCTATAGATCAATGTGGGGGGTAGTGCCATCTTAACAATAATAAGTGTTTTGATCCATGAAAATGGGATGTCATTCTGTTTATTTTGTGCTTCTTTAGTTTCTTTCAACAATCTTTTATAGTTCGCAGAGCAAAAGTTTTGTACTTCTTTTGTTAAGTTTATTCCAAAGTACGTTTTTTCTTGTCAATGCTATTATAAATGAAATTGTTTTCTTAATTTAATTTTCAGTTTGCTCATTGATACTATATAAAACTAAAGTTGATTTTTGTATATTGATCTGGTATCCTGGAGCATTGCTGAACTCATTTATTAGTTCTTATAGTTTTTTCCCAGTGGATTCCTTATGATTTCTCATATACAAGATCATATCACCTGCATATAGAGATACTTTTAGTTCTTTTCCAATCTGGATGTCTTTTCTTTTCTTTTCTTGCCTAATTGCCCTGACTAGAATCTGCAGTAAAATGTTTAATAGAAGTGGTGAGAGCAGACATCCTTGTCTTCTTCTTATTTTTTTTTGAAAATGTGACCTGTTTTATTTACTAGGGGAGCATTTGAAACTTTGAAAGAGAACATCCATTTTTTTAAAATTAATTTTTATTGGAGTATTGTTGCTTTACAATGTTGTGTTAGCCTCCACTGCACAACAAAATAAATCAGCCATACACATAGAGATATCCCCTCCCTTTTGGACTTCCCTCCCATTTAGGTTACCACAGAGAATTAGGTAGAGTCCCCTGTGCTATACAGTACGTTCCCATCAGTTGTCTATTTTGTACATAGTATCAATACACAGTATATGTGTCAATCCCAGTCTCCCAATTCCTCCCACTCCACCGCTTTCCCCCTTGGTATCCATACATTTGTCCTCTATGTCTGTATCTCTATTTCTGCTTCACAAATAAGATCATCTACACCATTTTTCTAGATTCCACGTATATGTGTTATTATACAATATTTGCTTTTCTCTTTCTGACTTACTTCACTCTGTATGACACTCTCTAGGTCCATCCACCTCTCTACAAATGACCCAATTTCATTCCTTTTCATGGCTGAGTAATATCCCATTGTATATATGTACCACAGCTCCTTTATCCATTCCTCTGTTGATGGATCCTTGTCTTATTCTTAACCTTAGAGTGAAAGCACTCAGTCTTTCACCACTAAGTATGATGTTAAGTTTTGGGGTTTTTTTAGATGTCCTTTATCAGGCTGAGGAACTTCCTTTCTATTCCTAGTCTGTTGAGAGTTTTTATCATGAAGTTTAGCTGTAACTCTTTGCTTTGTTATTTTAGTGGTTGCATTAGTGTTTATGGTATACAACTTTAACTTTTCATGGGCTACCTTCAAGAGATATTATACCGCTTTAGGCATATTTTAAGAGCATTCCAAGGACTTCCCTGGTGGCACAGTGGTTAAGAATCTGCCTGCCAATGCAGGGGACACGGGTACGATCCCTGGTCCCAGAAGATCCCATGTGCCGTGGAGCAACTAAGCCCATGTGCCACAACTACTGAGCCTGCACACCACAACTACTGAAGCCTGCATGCCTAGAGCCCGTGCTCCGCAACAAGAGAAGCCACTGCAGTGAGAAGCCTGTGCACTGCAATGAAGAGCAGTCCCCGCTCACCGCAACTAGAGAAAGCCCTCACGCAGCAACAAAGACTCAATGCAGCCAAAAAAAGAAATTCCATTTCTCTCCTTCCAGCCATTATATAACTGTTGACATATATTTTACTTTTAGATATGTTATAAACTCTGTAAAAATTGTTAATATTTTTCTTTAAACAGTCAATTATCTTTTAAAGATAATTTTCCAAATCTGTATCATAATATTTACTTGTAAAATTGAGACCATTTAACATACTTTGACAATCACAAACATTTGCAATTATCTTTTCTATATGACTAATAGTTTTTTTAAACCATCTTAACCATTTTAAAGTGTTGAGTATATTTACATTGCTGTGTAATGGATCTCTAGAACTTTTCATCTTGCAAAACAGAAACTCTATACCCATGGAACACCAGCTCCCTATTTCTCCCTTCCC